GTGCTGCAACTGTGGTGGGGCACATAGTGTGGCTTATGCTGGATGTGAGTTTATGAAGAACGAGAGTCAGATTCAAAAGGTGAGAGTAGAGAAGGGGATCTCTTATGCAGAGGCTGTGAGGACATCACGGCAGAGTGCTCCTCTTGTGACGAGGGGGCGGGGAACAGAAGAGCCGGAGGCAGTAACTGGGCAGAGCAAAAGTAATCTAAGTGTACAGCCAATTGCGCTAGTTTCATTTATTGCTGAAGTAATAAACTGCACTTTTGGGGTCAAAACTAGAGATGAAAGGATCAAATTGATTGTTGAGGCAGCAGTAAAGCTGCTAGGAGTGGTAGGACTGACAAGGGAAAAGGTGAGTGATCACCTCAGGCTTCAGTCAGGACGAGTGGTATAATGTTATTTGTATTCCTAATGGTGCTTATTCTCCAATGGAATGCAAGAAGTTGACTGGCCAATGGCCAGGAGTTTAAGTATTTCATTAAAGGACTTAAAGAGAAACTGGACGTAATATGTGTGCAGGAGACGTGGCTTAAGTCTTCTTTGGACTTTATAATATATGGATATGCTGTGATTAGAAATGACCGAGACCATGGAGATGGAGGGGGGTGTGCAACATTTGTTAGAAGCGGTATCCCCTACAGGTTACTGGGGGTAGGGGGAAATCTGGAGTGCATTGTAGTGGAAGTATGGGAGAAGGAAAAACCAACAGTGGTCATAAATGTCTATAATCCATGTGCCAGGTTAGAGCATCAGAGCCTCCGGGGTATTCAGGGACAAGACCGTAGGAGAGTTGTTTGGATGGGGGACTTTAATGCTCACAGTGGAGTATGGGGGGGTCGGCATAAAGACGCCAATGGAAGTGTTATAGAGGAATTGATGGATGAGCAGAATCTTGTGTGTTTGAATGACGGTTCTGGTACAAGGTTTAATGTTGTGAATGGGTCCTCCTCAGCGTTGGATCTTACCCTGGTGTCTAGCGCATGTGCAGGGGGCTGCCAGTGGAGGGTTAGGACAGATACAACCCTGGGGAGTGACCATTATCCTGTTTTGAGCTCAATTGGGGGTAAGGTGAAGGGGATAAGCAGAGAGGGTTTGGGGAAATGGGCTTTCCATAGAGCTGATTGGGATGAGTTCCAAAAGTTATGTGAGGAGGCTGCAGATGAAATGGGGTGTCAAGGCAGCGTAGATGAAATGAATAAACAGATTACGGAGGGAATGATAAATGCTGCACGGAAGAGTATTCCAAAGAGCAAGCCAAAGAATAACAGAGTTCTGGTTCCCTGGTGGACGCAGGAGTGCCGGGTAGCGGTCAAGGAGAGGAATAAGGCATTTAGGAAGTTTAAGAGAACGCTCAGTATTCAGCATCTGGTGGAATACACGAAAGCGCAGGCAATTGTTAGGAGGACAATTAGAAGAGCAAAAAGGTCTAGCTGGAGGGAGTTTTGCTCAAAAGTGGGGAGAACAACACCAGTGGGTGAAGTCTGGGGAATGGTAAGAAGGATGGGTGGAGACAGGCGTGAGTGGGATTACCCAGTATTAGTGACTCAGAATGGCACAGCGATATCGGACAGGGATAAGGCAGAGGTCATGGCCCAAAGTTTTGTAAAGGTGAGATAGCAGCCGTAAGAAACTGCTGCTATTGTATAATAGAGTTTGGACTGAAGGAAAGGTTCCAGGTGCGTGGAAAGAGGCTGTGATAGTGCCGATAAGGAAGCCTGGAAAGGACCCGTCCAAGCCATGTAGTTATCGGCCAATAGCCCTTTCCTCCAACCTCTGTAAAATGATGGAGAGAATGATTGTGGAAAGGTTGTCTTTTGACCTTGAGAGACGAGGAGTTTTTAGCTGGTTGTCAGAGTGGCTTTAGGAAAGCGATAAATACGTGTGACTCTATTATTAGGCTTGAAAATGAGATAAGGAAAGCTCAGGCTTGTAAGGAGTCAGTGCTGGCAGTGTTTTTTGACATTGAAAAAGCCTATGACATGATGTGGAAAGAGGGGTTATTAATCAAACTGCATAGGGTTAGTGCAATATGGGGGTTAGTGCAAGAGCTTTTAACTGGATCCGAGACTTTCTTGATGGGAGGAAAATTGAGGTGCGCATTGGATCAGTTTGCTCCAATCAATATTGTGCTGAAAATGGAACTCCTCAAGGCAGTGTGATAAGTCCTCTACTGTTCATTATTATGATTAATGATGTGTTTGATGCAATGCCTGGGAGTGTGGGTAGATCTTTGTTCGCAGATGATGGGGCGGTATGGAGCAGGGGGAGAAAGGTAGATCATCTAATAGGCAAGAGTCAGCGAGCCATTAATGATGTGGTGGAGTGGGGACTAGACTGGGGCTTCAGGTTCTCAGTTGAGAAAACTAAAGTGGTTTTCTTTACAAGGAAGAGAGTGAGGGAAGATCTGAAGTTGAGGTTATACGGTGAAGAGATTGAGAGAGTTAGTGCATTTAAGTTTTTAGGGGTTGTACTGGACTCTCGTTTAACATGGAAGGAACACATAAAAAGGATTGAGGAGAAGTCTAGTAAGGTTATAAATGTTATGAGGTGTTTGGCAGGAAGAGACTGGGGAGCCAGCTGCTCCGCACTGAAACGCCTTGATAAAGTCAGCATTTGACTATGGTTGTGTGGTGTACGGATCAGCATCCCCATCCATACTGAAGAAACTGGATGTGATACAGGCCCGTGCCTTGAGGCTGTGCTGCGGAGCCTTTAAGACATCCCGGTGAATGCATTGCAGGTAGAGATGGGGGAGATGCCACTAGATCTGAGAAGGAAGCAGATAATGATGAACTACTGGGTCCATTTACAAAGCCATGGGGATTCTCATCCCACAAAACAGACATTGAGGGACTGCTGGGAATATGGTAAGGCCCAGAGAGATCATTTTGGGAAAGTGGGGGACCAGATGGCTCAGAACTATGGTATTTATGATCTTCAGATTAGTTCTGCTTTAGTGTTTCCTGCAATACCCCCATGGAAGTTGGTGTGCCCAGGAGTAGATTGGCACCTGCTGGACTTGAAGAAGAAGGAAAAAGGGAGGGTTGATCTGGTTGCAGCTTTTGAGTACCACGTATCTCAACTCTACTCAAGTCATATTCACATCTTTACGGATGGGTCAAAGAGTCCAGAATCTGAGGCTACAGGATTCGGAATAGCGGTGCCAGGAAAAGGAGTTGGTATTAACAGACGAACATCTAATGGTTTGAGTGTTTACACAGTGGAGATGGTTGCTATATTAGTGGCGTTAAGGTGGGCAGAGCAAGCTAAAAAGAGTAGGGTTTTAATATGTTCTGATTCAGCGTCTGTGCTTTCTAGTGTCCAGTCTATACAATCACAGGGTCGACAGGATATTTTGTATGAGACTCTATTGACAGTTACTTGAATACATGAGCAGGGGAACAGGGTGCAGTGTCTGTGGGTACCATCACATTAGGGTGCGCTGAATAAAACACTGTGTATCATAGGGAAGCATGAGACGGGGCTCTGTGAGGGGTGTGAAGAGCAGGAGGAGTCTGTAGAGCACGTGCTGTTGCACTGCAGGGGATATAGTGAGTGTAGGGAGGTACTGAGACAGAGGCTTAAGGGACTGGGGGTTAAGGAATTTAATTTAAAGAGTATTTTGGGTACTGGAGGGAGTGCGCAAGTGAGGGCATTAGTGTCGTTTTTAAAGGAAGCCGGGTTATTCAGCAGAATATAGATATAGTATAGTTAGGTATGTATGAATTTTGGTTAGTTTTTTGTATTTTGTTGTATTTTGTTATTTTATTTTATTTTCTTTTACAATTCCCTTGGTGGGACCACAGACTGATAGTCTGTGGGGTTAGAGTGTGAGCCTACTGACCCATCCACGGAACAGAAGGTGGCGGTAATGCGCAAAAATAGGTCGCCAACCGCCGGAAAAACCTAACAAGAAGAAAAAGAAGAAGAGGGAGAAGCCCAAACTGGAGGGGGCAGCACTGAGCTACTTGGCTGTGGAGACTTCCTCAGACGGGCTGAAGAAGAACCCGCAGAGACGCACTGGTTCAAACATTAATCTGGGTAAAGCATCAGCTGGACCTCATTTTCTGCTTTATGTATTCATGTATATCACCCGTGTTTGTGTAGAAGAATGGGTACTATTTTAAAATCTTACAATAAAAGTCTTACACTGGGTCAAAGGCTAAATGCTAAAGCAGTGTTTGCTAGCAGGTGAGGATGTGAGTAAACTGAATATAATCAGTGCTGCAAACTATCGGTGAACGAATAAGTGTTACTCACAGCAGACCTGGACCAGACCTGGACCAGACCTGGGTTAAGCCTGGTCCATCATGGGTTTAGTCCCTGTTTAGACCTGTGCTTGTGTATTTTGCTTGGTACATGGTAAATGCCTAGTTCTGTTATTCCAGCCTGAGTCCAATTATTTACTTAAAAACAGGAATAATAGTTTAAATTCCATGTATTTTATTTTAATCCTGATTAACTGTTAGTTTGTTTGTGGATCTGATCTTGTACACCTTAATTTAACCTGTATGTTTACCAGGCTGAACGAACATAATTTCAGTATTTGTCCTTACCTCATATAAAAGCAATATCAGTGAAGGCAGTTTTAATTTCCTTAAATAAAGTCAAAGCTGATGTATTACAAAATGTGTCAAATGATGCTATACTGTTGATGTACATGTATGTAGGGCTGCAGTTATTAAAATGTCTTAAATGTTAAGTCATGTCTGCTTCAGAGCCTGTTGGCACAACGCTTAGACATTACTGTGAATAACCAGAAGATACATTAGAAAGCAATTTCTCTTGTTCACTGATTTAAGATTCCAATTTGTAACCAAACAGACGAGCGAACGACACAGACTATTCTCTTTTGTCAAACATCTTAATTACACTGCAGTTTCTTTTTAAATGTGTACATGTGGATTAGGCCTAAGCGTGAAATAATCTCTGCATCAAAACATGTTTTTCTTTTCTTTTCCAGTGGTACTGAGTGGAAGTTCAGCACAAAATAACCAGCCATGACATCTCTAGTAAGTACAGCAAGCCTACACCACATTGCCAATGAGTACCCTTTTTGTTAGGAATTATTTCGGGATTTATCCAGGTATTTATGATCACTGTGACACTGTTTTACTGCCAAATTATCCCTAAATTGTAAAAGGATTATTGTATTTATCATTCACTAATTCACTCCATTTGGCTTGAAAATAATAGCAGTTTTTAGAGTTGGGGTACTTTACTCCTACAGTCTAGTGAAGTAAAATTACCACAACACAAACGAGATTTGGTCTACGAGATCAAGGCAAATTTCAGTGTTGAATGCATTGCGTTTGTATAACTTTGGTCTCACACCTTCACTGCTCCAGTCTGCTCGTCGGAGGAATCATGCCTCTTTCTCCTTTTCTGAGATTATACAACTGCCAATGCCTCTTAATTGAACAAATATGTATTTGGCATATTTCATTGTATTTTTGTGATTCTTTTATTAAGAATTTAGCAGTTCTATTCTCTTTCTTTACTGGTTCTGTCATTATGCATTGACAACTGGACAATTGGAAGATGGGGATGTTTTTACCAGTTACAAGGATGCTTTTGAGAGGTCACATCACTCATGACAGGTCTCATCAGCTGATTCTACCAGGAGCAGACAACCTCACAGACCCATGAGATTTACCCCTGGGGCTGGACTGAATGTTTGGGAGAGTTTTATTTAGCTTTTATAAACTGATCCGGTCTGTTTGCAGTCCCTTTGTGTGTGCTATTCATAATTGACCTGTTCATTCAAGTGATCAAAGAAATCCATGATCAACCATAGTGTAAAGCCTGAAGACAAAATTACAGCAAGATAAATGTTAATATTGTGAGATTTGGATTTTGTCCCATCCCTACTATATACCAACATATTCTGACATGATTATTTGACAGGGAAGCAGCAGTTCTTCCGGGACAGAGTACACAGTGCGAGTGCCCAAGTGAGTTGATCATTCCAAAAACAAACTTCTGCATGTCGTATTTTAAAACCCATTTCCCATGTATCTTTGTTTTGAACAGAAATCCAACTAAAAAGTATAACTTAATGGCGTTTAATTCAGGAGACAAGGTGGCGTGTTCAACATGGACACAAGTAGGTTTGATAGTCCATCATAATTTGACAAAATGGCTTGTAGTTTCCAAACTCATATCCTGTTTTAGGCTCGTATGGAACGCGACATGAGTGCGCGGCGCATTTACGGTGAGGAGGAGACTGCAGACGGAGCAGCTGGCAGTGAGTTTGGCAAAAAGCAGCGAGAGGAAGCACGCAGGAAGAAGTTTGGTATTGTGACTAAAGAGTTTAAAGTAGAAGACCAGCCTTGGATTCTCAAAGTCAACGGGAAAGCAGGAAAGAGGTGAGCTGAACACTAGGAGCTTGTTTAGTCCATAAGCAGGAAGTGAGATGTGATAAATGTGCAGGTTCAAGGGCATCAAGAAGGGCGGAGTGACGGAGAATGCATCATACTACATCTTCACGCAGTGTCCAGACGGTGCATTCGAGGCCTTCCCAGTGAACGGCTGGTACAACTTCATGCCTGTGGCCAAGCACCGCACACTCACAGCAGAGGAGGCCGAGGAGGAGTGGGGCAGGTTTGTCTCCGAATGTTGTTTTTAATGTGAAAAACATCCCGGTAAAGCTTGCCTGTTCAGAATCAACTTTAAATCCTAGTTACTCAGCTGATATGGATATAAGAAATCATTTATCCATTGATTTGTTTGTTTTTGTGTGGTCAGGAGAAACAAAGTGGTGAACCACTTCAGCATCATGCTGCAGAGGCGTTTGAGGGAACCGGACCGATGTGATGATGATGAGGACGAGGGAGACAAGTCAGGCAAGAAGAAGAAGAAGGGAGGTGGACGGGGGGGCGAACTGCGCATCCATGATCTGGAAGACGACCTGGAGATGAGCAGTGACGACAGCCGCAGCAGCGAAGACGGTCAGGCCACAACACTTTCAAAAACATGTTCAGGGTTTGTTTAGGTCCATGGACTATAGAAAAGACTTTCAAACTGTAAACTAGACTGTAACAATAAAGACTGTACGTTAATGCCAAGTTTAGGACCGTGATAAGGGTCGAGTTTATCATTTTGTCATGTAAAATCATATTATCTGTGTCCCCAGGCACAAGGTCCTTATGTGTAAAATACAATGGACACAACATTTAACACAGATTATCTCAGAACTGGCCCTGTTTAACACGATGAACCCTTCTCTAGATCAGGTTTAGGAATGGCCATTTTAGACTTGATTGTAGAAGCCATGTTGGAGCAGTTTCCCAGATTTTAAACATTATCTATTTTGGACTTGATCCACAGAAGGGGAGAGCAAATCCAAGACTAAAAAAGAGCTTAAGGGCAAAGGTAAAAAGAAGAAGAAAAAGAAGAGTGAGAACGAGGGACTGGAGGACAGCGACGACGGAGACCACGAAGGCCTGGAGGTGGACTACATGTCTGACGAAAGCAGGTGAGGCACAAACTCTCACTTCTGGAATGGACACAAACTTGTAGTCGAACATAATGAGAATTCTTTGGAGTCTTGACGTGTTTATACGATCATGTTCTCCCTTGTGATCGAATGTGCTTGGTTTCAGTTCAGATGACGAGGTAGAGAAGGGGAAACCTGTCAAAGCAGAGGAACACCCCAAAGGTGCTTCACTAAGACTCAACTATGAACTGCAAACCATTAAACCCCAATTGCATCATGTCCAAATCTTTTACCATTCAAAGGCATTGACGAGGCTTCTGAAAGTGAGGATGAGAGCGAAGAGGAAAAACAGAACGAAGAGGAAGTAAAAGAAGAGGAGGAAGAGGATGATGGGAAGAAGACCCCCGTCCAACCAGAAAAGAAGAAGAAGAAAGGTGTAGATCCTGCAACTTCAACCTGCAAATGTGAAGCAGAGACATAATGATGATGATAATGTGTATGTGTTTGATCCCTAAGCCGACAGCAGCGGAGAGTCTGAAACCTCGGACGACAGCGACATCGAAGGAGAGACTGCCTCGGCTTTATTCATGGTGAGAAGGATGCACTATTTTAACCATCTTCAGGGGTTTATGGAGGGACCATTGATTACAGTCAATGGTCAACGATATAATCTGTTAAGCCTGGTTCACACAAGACGATTTTAAAATTGTCGGCCGATTTTCCTATCCTGAGAGACCCCACACACGGAGATACAAAAATCAAGGGTCTAACCACTTTGGTCGTAATAGTGTGTGGATCGCCAGGGCTTGGTTCTTGTTCTTTGGCAGAAAAGGGCGCAGAATGGCGTGTGTGATAGATTTGGGGCTTGTTCTTGCTTTTTACAGTTTCTAGAACAGGGCGGCACGGTGGCTGAGTGGATAGCACTCTCGCCTCTCAGCAAGAAGGTCCTGGGTTCAAATCCCGGTTGGACCAGGGCCTTTCTGAGTGGAGTTTGCATGTTCTCCCCGTGTCTGCGTAGGTTTCCTCCGGGTGCTCCGGTTTCCCCTACCACTAAAAATATGTACAATAGGTCTGGCATGTGCCTCCTGTTCTGGCGCCCCCACTCCCAAAAAATAACAATTGTAAACCGCTTTGAGACTCCGATGTGCAGTGAAAAGGCGGTATATAAATAAAGATTACGATTACTAACAGTGGTTGGAGTTACCGAACCCCACCGGTTTCATTTGCACATTCACCAAACCCCGTAACACATGGAGGCTTTCATTCCACAATTGTTTAAAATGTGCTGAAGCCTCTGCGCTTGCTCAGACAAGCTTTTAACGCTGACATCTAGTGGGCAAAAATAATCATCGCAACTTCTGAACAGCAGCACTGAATGTATGTGGTTTCAAATTCATACCATTTCATCCTGTCACGTAACTATAACAATCCTACTGCATTTATTACTCATTGTATTAATTAAGAATACATTAATGATTTGTGATGCGACGTATCAAAGGGTTTGGGTGTAATTGACGCCTGACAAAGAAAAGTAATGTAAACAGAAATCCTTTGAAACAGCAGACCTCAGTTACTTATGTCTCAGTTGTGCTGTCGATATGGAGGAACATGCTTTTTTCCATGCGTTTTTTTTATTTATTTAAACAATAATTAATGTTCAAATGTAACCAGGTGAAGATTTATTCCTTGTTTTAAGAAAAGCTTGTGTTTTATTTTTTCTTAAGTGGTTGTTTGTTATATTTGTTTGATTCATAAGAGGTTGCCAGTGCTATGTGTAATTAGGATTTAAATAATAACATACTGGGCTGTTACCATAGTAACGCACAGCTCACACTGGTTTTAACTGAAAGTTGTTGGGGCTCACTTTCTGTCACGCAACATCCTTCTCGACTTTACATTTGGTAAGAGAAAATGTGTGTTGTTTTTTGTTTGATTATCTTGTTTTACATTTTAATGTTTGAAATGTAACCAGTGTTTTGTGATAGCGGTGCCACTGCTCTTTAATGACAGTTTAACTGACACAGATTTGGTGGTTTAAAGATGCCCTTTTTATTTTGGAGCACAGTTTGTTTTTTATCCTGGCCTCACATATTTTGAGCTTTTTGATAATATTTAAACTTGTTGTTGTTAGAAAAAGCGCACGCCCCCAAAGCGAGGAGGTCGAGGCTCAGCCGGTAGCTCCAGAACAGGAAGTCGACCTGGGACTCCTTCTATAGACTCTGGCTCCACGTCCAGTACCCTGCGAGCAGCAGCCAGCAAACTGGAGCAAGGTACCCTTTCATATTTAGTCTTTTTACTCAGCATCTCTGTGACGAGATCATTAAACCTCTATGGGGCATAAAAGACAACAACCAAAACTTACAATGAACAAAACTTACAACAAACAGCATTTTTCTAAAGTCTGGTGTACAGGGCTGTTGTTGTGTGGATTAGTTCGATTGTATGTGGTTTAAATATGACACAGGAGTGTAAAGTGTCCATGTTCATACTCATGTCATCCAGCCGTACATGAGTCTTCTTTAGCTGGACTCATGTATTCAGTGAAAAATCAATGGTTTATTCCAAAATACAAAAGTTTACTTCACAAGACACTAGATGAAAAACTGTTTGGCCTTTATCCCTCAGCTTCTACAAAACACTCCCAACTGTGTCCCAAGCACACCTGCATGGGCTCTCTCCTCGAGGCTCTCTCCTCGAGGCTCTCTCCTCGAGGCTCTCTCCTCGAGGCTCTCTCCTCGAGGCTCTCTCCTCGAGGCTCTCTCCTCGAGGCTCTCTCCTCGAGGCTCTTCACACACTTGGGTTAATTATATTAGAAGGACAACATTCTTAATGTAGTTTGGGTCAGATACATTCTCTTGTGCTATCCTCAGGTCAAAAGTTATTCGCCACAGTGATTAAAAGTAGAAAATACCCTAAATTAGGGTCTAAAAGGGTGACCCAGGGCTGGTCAAGACAAATAATCAAAAATCAGCTAAAAAAAAATGAACCAGAGAAAAGCACAAAGGATACATACTGTTAGATTTAGCTATGACAGCTTCTGCCATTCTTCCTTTCTCTCTTTTACTAACTGGTCTTTGATGTGTTAGGAAAGAGACAGGGTGGTGCTGCCGCTGACACTCCAGTTGCCAAAAGGCTGAAGATGGAGCCGAACAGCCAGAGTCCTGCTCCGTCTGGGAAGAGCACGCCTCAGCCGGCGTCTGGAAAATCCACCCCAAGTGCCAGGTAACCTCTGTTCTTGTTGCTCTGTTTTTAGGCAAGGCAAGTTTATTTGTATAGCACAATTCATACACAAGGCAATTCAAAGTGCTGAACAAAATAAGAAAGCATTAAAATCATAAATAATCACAGAACATTAAAAAGAAAGATAAAAACATAAAATCCCTCAGTTGTATGCACAGCTAAACAGAACTGTCTTTAACCTGGTTTTAAACATTGTCAGAGAGGAGGCCTGTCTCACATCTTCAGGAAGACTGTTCCAGATTTTAGCAGCATGAATCTGAAAAGTAGCCTCCCCATGTTTAGTCCTGACTCTGGGCACTAACAGGAGTCCAGTCCCTGTGCTCCTCAGAGTCCGGGCTGGTTCATATGGGACTAACATGTCACTAATATATTTTGGTGCGAGGCCATGGAGAGACTTGTAACAAGCAGAGCTGTTTTAGCCTCCTGAGACCCTGCGACCTCATACGAGGACATTACATTTTTGCCTCTTGGCACAATGATACTCAATTTTTTACATCCTTGACCTGATGGCCACATTTAGGGACACTGCCCGCGCCATCTTGTGGTGATATGATAGAATTACACTTAAGGCAGTAGGAAAAAATTGGTGGCAATATCAGCAAAAGACTTCTACAAGAGTTTACAGAAGAAAAATGCCCCAGGTAAAAATTCTATCAACATTTTATGAATGAAATACATTTTTTTATGCACAATAATGTCTCTAGCTTCATATGGAGTTTGAAATTTGACAAATTTTGATTGTAGTAGCAGGCTAGGATGTCAGTAAAAGTGAAGCACTCGTTTGAGGACGCTAGGACTATGTACCGCTATCTGTTTAGCTAACAGTGTGGAAGATTTAGATGAAGTTACAGTTGTAAATAGTTATTTTGAATCACACATTTGCTTAGTTATGTGGTTTACAGTTGTAAATAGTATATTTAAGTACTAAGTGGTATATGCTAAGTATTGTTTAGTGTTGCTAAATTCTAAATCATAAACAATATAGCTAGGCTATAGCTAGCACATGATAGCCAAGCTATGAAGTGTCACTGATATACTGTAGATTTTGATGTTGGTTTTTAACATTATCATTACAGGCACACTTTCATTGTCAAGAGCAGAACAATTGCTGTTGGCAATTGCAGACAACTCTGAGATAGAGGACTTCTCAGATGGGGATGATTGTATCATCATCTCATACCTGTCAGTCATCTTCTGGTGTTTCCCACGGGGAGAGGCGGCGAGCTGGGGTGGCCATACTCATTGCCCCCCATCTCAGCCGCCACGTGTTGGAGTTCTCCCCGGTGAATGAGAGGGTCGCGTCCCTCCGCCTCCGGGTGGGACAAGTCTCTCATTGTTGTGACGGCCTACGGGCCTAACGGCAGTGCCGAGTTCCTGCCTTCTTGGAGTCCTTGGGAGGGGTACTGGACAGTGCACCGCCCGGGGACTCCGTTATTCTCCTGGGGGACTTCAACGCCCATGTGGGAAATGCCAGGGACACTTGAAGAGGGGTGATCGGGAAGAACGGCCCCCCTGATCTGAACCCGAGCGGTGTTCAGTTGTTGGACTTCTGTGCCAGTCACGGTCTGTCCATCACGAACACCATGTTCGAGCACAAGGGTGTCCACCAGGACACCCTAGGCCGGAGGTTGATGGTCGACTTTGTTGTCGTATCATCTGACCTTCGACCGCGTGTCTCGGACACTCGGGTAAAGAGAGGGGAGGAGCTGTCAACCGATCATCACCTGGTCGTGAGTTGGATCCGCTGGCAGGGGAAGAAGCCGGTCAGACCTGGCAGACCCAAGCGTATAGTGAGGGTCTGCTGGGAACGTCTCGCTGAGCCCCCTGTCAGACGGACTTTCAACTCACACTTCCGGGAGAGTTTCTCCCAGGACCCAGAGGAGGGGGACATTGAGTCCGAGTGGACCATGTTCTCTTCCTCTATCACCAATAAAGCGGCTCGTAGCTGTGGTCGCAAGGTCTCTGGTGCTGGTCCCGGCGGCAACCCCCGAACCCGGTGGTGGACACCGGCAGTAAGGGATGCCGTCAGGCTGAAGGAGTCCTATCGAGCAATGATGGTTCGTGGGACTCCTGAGGCAGCTGTCCAGTACCGGCAGGCCAAGCGTGCCGCGGCCCGGGCTGTTGCAGAGGCAAAAACCCGGGACTGGGAGGAGTTCGGAGAGTCCATGGAGCATGACTATCGGTCGCCCTCAAAAAGGTTATGGCAAACCCTCCGGCGCCTCAGGAGGGGGAAGCAGTGCTTTGCCAACACCGTGTATGGTGCGGGTGGAGAGCTGCTGACCTCGACTGGGGATATTGTAATCCTAACCCTAACCCGGAGATGGTAGCCTTGAAAAACCCCATGCATTGCAGAGCACAAGACTGCATTGGAAAAGCCTGTCTCCGATGCATGACATGCAATGTGTACCTGTGCTTGCAAAGTGAATGCAACTGCTTTGCAGCATTTCGCACTTGCCAATAGGGCTCTTCCAAACAGGCAGACAGATTGCTTTCTAGAAAAAGAGAGGGAGCTAGTTTGAAAAAAGCCCCGGTTCAAAGCTGTTCAGCAGAATTTTACTGTTTTAGGACTGTTAATAATATTTGCCATTATTTGTTCTAGTATTGTATTTATCAATTCAATTCAGCCATATTGAAGGCTTGAAATAGACAGTTTACACAGTATTTTGCGGTTTTATTTATGTATAGCCAATTTTTTGTCATGTGGATGAATGAAGAAAAAGGGAACCCAAATTGCAGGACTGAAAATCAAAGTAATTTAATAAAATAAATCCAAGGTAATGTAAAAACAGAACTGAAGACAGGACAAACATTGTGGAGACAATGGACGGACAACAAGTGAGGAAGGGCACATGGTATATATACACACACAGGGACACACAGGGACACACAGGTGAATCACATTAACAACAATCAACAGGACAGGCAGGATTCAAACTCAACCCGGTCAAAATGTCCACACCATGACATTTTTAGGCTTTGAAGATAGAGCTGTTTGGATTTTATGTCTAACTTTGATGTTTACATTTTTCAAATAAACTGTTATATACTATTTTAGACCAATGGAGTCTATTTGTATTGTATAGTAAGGTCGACCCACTGTCCTCATGTGAGGACATTGATTTTTGAGAGAAGTACTAATTGGATCAAGCTGAAATTTTGAATTTCAACTAATCAGGACCTTCCGGCCTAAAAGATCATACATTTTCTCTTTAGGTTATGAGAGACCCACTGTCCTCATACGAGGACATGTTTTTTCTCAAAAACTACTTCCTGTACAAAATCACAATTTAGGTATTATACTTATTGGGTCCTACTTATCCTAAATAGCAAAAAAATATATAAAATGCACACCAGACAAATGCTCGGGTCTCAGGAGGTTAAAGTCTATTCTCTGAGCCACAGGAAGCCAGTGCAGAGACCTGAGGACCGGACTAATGTGGTCGTACTTCCTGGTTCTTGTCAGGACTAATATGGTTGTACTTCCTGGTTCTAGTCAGGACTAATGTGGTCGTACTTCCTGGTTCTAGTCAGGACTAATGTGGTCGTACTTCCTGGTTCTAGTCAGGACTAATGTGGTCGTACTTCCTGGTTCTAGTCAGGACTAATGTGGTCGTACTTCCTGGTTCTAGTCAGGACTAATGTGGTCGTACTTCCTGGTTCTAGTCAGGACTAATGTGGTCGTACTTCCTGGTTCTAGTCAGGACTAATGTGGTCGTACTTCCTGGTTCTAGTCAGGACTCGAGCTGCTGCATTTTGAATGTACTGCAGCTGTTTTACAGCCTGTTTGGACAGACCTGTGAGCAGGCCATTGCAGTAGTCTAACCTACTGGAGACAAATGCATGGATAAGAATCTCCAAGTCTGCTTTAGACACTATGTTTTTGATCCTGGCAATGTTTTTTAGATGGTAAAAAGCTGCTGATGTTACTGATTTGATGTGGCTATTAAAAGTGAAGTCTGAGTCCAGTATTACCCCTAGATTTCTGACCTTGTTTGAAGGTTTTAGGGAGAGAGACTGGAGGTGACAGGCTTTGGCTGGTTTCTAGACATTTTCTTGAAAAGGTCTGATTCTTTCTTTTTGTACAAAATGTTTGGCAAAAAATGTTTTTCTCCAACACTGATGCTGTAGAACAGAGGTCGGGTCCTTTTTAGCTGAGAGCCAAAATAGTCTTCTTAGAAATATATTTCTGTGGGAGTCAAACATTTCTTTTACTGTGAATGTTTTAAAGAAAAAAAGATCAACACATTTAGAATGTAATTTTTTTGTCATAACATTTTTTTATACAAAAGAAATTGCATAAAGTATCATTACTAATTAAGTCCTACAAAGATTTGAGATCCAGATGCTGTAGAAGATAAAAGATTCAAACAAAGAAATGTAGAATAGTGGTCTTTATCCCCACATCAGCCTGGTGTGAGACAGCAGTATCTGCATAACCAGATGGGGACGGATTTTAATACTTAAATGAAGGTTAAACATTTTCTATGGACAAACTCTGGGATCTCACTCTGATGGTTCAGTCCAATCTGCAGTTTGAAGTTCATCTCCTATGATTCAAACTATAATCCCAAAATGAGACATTTTCCCTCATTTGATACGGTGTTTGTTTGTCCACAGTGACGTCCAGCTGACCGAGGAGGCAGTCCGCCGGTACCTGATCCGGAAGCCCATGACGACCAAAGATCTCCTGAAGAAGTTCCAGACCAAGCGTACCGGCCTGAGCAACGAGCAGACGGTCAACGTGCTCGCCCAGATCCTCAAGAGGCTCAACCCCGAGCGCAAGAACGTCAACGACAAGATGCACTTCTACCTCACAGAGTGAACGTGCTCCTGAGGACCTGGACTGATGCAGTTTGATCAGGAAGGAAATACTTTTCTAATAAAATAATAAACTTTGATTTCTTGACTATTTTCTTTTATCTAAATGCGTGGGTAAAAGCCAAGTGTCCATAGTTCTTTCTAATACCATCTGTTTTGGTCCAGAAATACTAGCAAGCAAGCAATACAAATTCTCTGATCAAACCTAAATGCATATATTTATGTCCATACTTCCTGTCAACGCTCTGCAACTTGTTCCTCCTTCACATCAGCCCAGAAAATGAAAAGGCTTTCAATAAGTCTTAATTTGACCAACCAATATTGAAGTTGGGTAAATTAGAATATCCTAAAATCCATTTACTTCTGTAATTGCTGCAGAAGTAAATGTATAACAAACAATGGAACTTCTGATTCTTTGCTCCCCTCACTTTAAAGAGCTCAACACTATTATAATGTTTTTTTTCATCAATACTGATCGTTTGAAGATGTTTGAAGACAACAGGACACACCCCTGAGGAATCCAGCGTTTGTGTAGGAAGTAATTATTTACAAAAACATACAATCTTTAAGAACATTTCAAATCAATAAATGAAGTTTGTCAGCAGCCGGTCTTTATAAAATGCATCTCCGTGTGTACAAAACTTCATTACAACTATAAAATCACCCACTTTTAAAAAGACATCGGCTCACAGAACGCTCTGACCATAGAAGTTCTGACACAAACGGCACATTTTTCCAGTAAAACAATTATAAACCATTAAATACACACAGAAAACAATATACTTTATTCTAAATTATACTTATAAATTTAAAGGTCCCATTGTACGCTCGACTTTTCTATGCTTTAAACATCATTAAAGTGCAAGCTTTCCTTTGTGCACATGTCAAAGTTTTATTTCATTGATTCCCTCGAGCTTTAAATAAGAATGCAATCTTTCTCTTTTATTCTCGAGGGAGCTTAAAGCTTTGGTTAACTTTGAAGTGAAACCACTTCGTGACGGCACCGAGCTGGAGAAACCCACCTCCAGGAGGCGCTCAGCAGTGACTGACAGGGGGAGAAATCAAAACAGAGACAGTTATAGATGTTCTACCACAGTCTCTGTTGGCTTCACTGCTGTCGCCTGCTCAAGTCTCAGAGTCATGTCCACTTGGAGAACATGTGATTTTGGGTCTAAATATGTGACAAAGCAGCAAATGTGGCTGGACTTTCTTCACAGAGATCTACCTCTGAAATCGGTGAAGAATCTGTATCTGAAAGCGACACTTCAAACACTGCTTCCATAGCAACGGTTACTATGAAACCTGGTGTTTTTCCAGCAATGAAAGACGCTAACGAGGAGCTAAGATCTGGAAGTAAAGTGCTAACAACTCGCCGTATACCACTGTTAACTAAATAATCAGGGTTCGATTCTGGTTCGAGGTCAGAGCTGCTTTCACTCATACGCTCAGGATGGACGACATGAAGAAGAGCAAAAAATGGGACCTTTAAAGATTAACCCATACACAACACAAAAAAACGTCTTTGACCCGTCAGAGCTGAACTGAAAGTCTTTGTGTATTGCTTCAAAGGTTTCACGGCATGAAGAGTAAAAGCAAATGTGTGGCTTTCTTTTGAACAGTTTTTTTTATGTTGAGGCGCCATCAGCTCGGCAGGTTGCGACATATAACCGAGATCCTTCGTTGCCGTGGCACCCTCTGTCCGTTAAACACAGACTCCTCGTCCTTCAGGATCTCGTGGGTGAACTTGTACCTCACGTCATCTCTGCAAATAACGGAAACAAAGCATCGATAAACGGACAATTGTGTTGTTTTTCTCTTTTTTCTGTGTTGAAGCGAAGCACACCTCATAATGTACAGAGAGAATCGTGGAAGTAGAAGGTCCAGCTGTTCTTTTGGGGAATCCTCCTTCACCAAACGCATGACACTGGCAGAGAGCAGGCTCAGACCCGCGATGGTGCTGCCACAGAACTGAAACAAGATTATTATTATTATTATTATGGGATTCGCGTTTGTATAAAGCAGAAGTAAACAGTTTTTTGTCTCTGTCTCTCTACACCTTTTTCACGCCGAAGCTCGGATTGTCTCACCTTTTCTGTTCCAAGAGTTTTTAGAGAAGTTGGACGCAGAATGTTTCGGTGCGAGGCTTCATCAGACTGGAATAAACTCCCCACATCCACACGAGTCTTTTGGTTTTGAATTATTTACTCCTTGCTAATGTCACTAATGTTCTGTATTCTGTATGTGTCATTATCGTCAATAGTTTTACTTTGAGGAGTGGTTAATTTGTATTATTAGTATTTTAAGTTTTCGTAATTCTATAACGTATTCCTAATGCTCTGTAAATTGTTTTGTATGTTCTGTGTGTGTGTGTTTACATGTTTGTCAGCATCAAAACATACTCAGTTCATTTTGTAGAAGGTGCATGAGTTCTATGGTCCTTTTATTTTATTGCTATTTTTATATTTATACATATCCACAAAACGTTTTTTCCTATTTGATTTTCAATGATTTTACTGTTTTAACTAGTATTTTATTGTGCAGTACTTTGAAAACTGTTATAAAATGTGCTCTATAAATACAGTGGATTGGATTTTAAAGTGGTTCATTAGAGTAATTTACTGTGTCATTTGATCTAATAGAAAAAAAACATTATAGAAACAGATAAAATGTTAATATTGTACAATGTTCAAGAAATCATAAATTCTCTAAGTCAAAGATATTTTGAGCTTTATCTGTAATTTTCTGCTTATCACAAAACAAACAAATATTCTGTTTAATTAACTTTAGACAAACAAGACTTACACATTATATATATATATATATATATATATATATATATATATATATATATATATATATATATATAAGCAGTACCTTGACACTGTCTATGTGGGGCTTTATGTATCCCTTCTGGTCCAGATCCAGGATGTGGACTGGCCCCAGGAGTGGACTGCCCTGAGGGAAGGCTGCAGAGCGGACCCTGCTGAGGACCTCCGCACACTCTGCCCCCCACGACACCCGCTCCGTCTCCCTGTAGCCGTGGATCGCCTGTGGGAACAGCAGCGTTCAATAATGAATGGACAAATGACAAATGTTGAACACAAACAGAAAGCAAAGTCAAGAAGGAAGAACTACACACAACATTAGGCTCATATTGTTTATCAAACTTACCAAACTTTAATCTAGTTTAGCAGTGAGCCTGAACCAAAACCCCCTGAGCCTCATGTCTGAAGATGTGTCCATGAGTAAAACAACAAAAACACAGTGTAGTGCTGTAAAATGTTTATTATTTTACTATTACTTCTTGTATTCTTCATTGAGTGACTGCATAAACTTATATTAACTCACTCATAGTTATGCAAGAACTATTGATTCTTGTAGTTTTGATTCCAATTTCTATCTTCGGCGTGGTTCAACAGCGAATAAGGAAACATTATTTCATGTTTCACGCTTAATCTAAATCAGAATTTTAGTTTATTCGTACAAAAAAACTGGCAAACATGAATAAAAGCACCTTTTAAACTTAAATACACCCAGAATGAACGATGGTATACAGATTTTTTTCGTATGTTCCCCAGCTTCATTCTTGCCATGTCAACGTGTATATGGACAAAACACTCAGTACTATTTCTATTTAATATTTATTGTACTATAATAGGGTTAAAGTAAGAGCGATTAATTCTATGGCTCAATATTTCTTCTATATATGGATCAAATGCACAAGACTTGCTTACGGTATATTTTAGACTATTATATAAAAACTTTCAGTAATTTCAATAAACATTATGCAGAAAAACGTAAACTCCCCATTTCCCAAACAATACTCTAAATAATATCTAAGTACAAGACATGAACAATATCAGTGTCTAAAAAATGCCGTCATTATTTGCGGATAAAACCTATTTCTTGATATTAATTTTAATAATTAATTTTGAATAGCTCATGTGTGGTGAAGTCCCGTACTTTTCCACATCAAAGGGAATTACACTAGAATATGATTTACACAATTCTAGAAACACCCCAACATTCTGTCTTACATTGTCCCAGTGGTCAAACTCACATTGTCCCAGTGGTCAAACTCACATTGGCCCAGTGGTCAAACTCACATTGTCCCAGTGGTCAAACTCACATTGTCCGAGTGGTCAAACTCACATTGGCCCAGTGGTCAAACTCACATTGTCCGAGTGGTCAAACTCACATTGGCCCAGTGGTCAAACTCACATTGGCCCAGTGGTCAAACTCACATTGTCCCAGTGGTCAAACTCACATTGTCCGAGTGGTCAAACTCACATTGGCCCAGTGGTCAAATTGGCCCAGTGGTCAAACTCACATTGCCCCAGTGGTCAAACTCACATTGCCCCAGTGGTCAAACTCACATTGGCCCAGTGGTCAAACTCACATTGCCCCAGTGGTCAAACTCACATTGCCCCAGTGGTCAAACTCACATTGGCCCAGTGGTCAAACTCACATTGCCCCAGTGGTCAAACTCACATTGTCCCAGTGGTCAAACTCACATTGTCCCAGTGGTCAAACTCACATTGTCCCAGTGGTCAAACTCGTAGCGTTTCCTCTTCAGCCCTGGCTCCAGCTCCTTCACCAGAGCAGCTTCCTCCTGCTCCGTGATGAAGTTGGGCCTCACTTCCACCTGTGACAAACATGTAGATTAGAAAGTCAGTTTAACAGGAATGCCTCAAAACTCTCTGATCGTATGGCACATGCAAGATTCCTGGACCAAAGTCAGCTTCATGAATATCTAATGGCTTCGCTTATAATAATCTACACAGGATTAGATTGCGTTTGTGTTCTGAAATTCTGTTTCAGTTGGAGGGTGAAGTTGGTCAATCTGAAAGACAGACCAAAGACTAAAAACATGCACAATAGATCTGAATGTAGATGAGAGTGAATGGATGGTGTTGGGTCAGAGGCTTTGATGGTCCAGTGTGTTCTGGACTCGCTTCTGTCATCACCGTGTGTGGAAGGATTGGAACAATATCTGAACTCTGAACATTGTAAAGGGCTTTGGGTCTGTACCTTGGTCTGTAAAATGCGCTATATAAATAAACATTACTTCAGAATCAGAATCAGAATCATTTTTATTGCCACGTGAGTAACAAAGTTACCACTTGGAAATTGTCTTGGCAGAGAGCGTGCCACTTCGCCATTTGCGGCGCTGTGTGCAGCAAGAAACAGCAGAGAGCAATAACATACAGTTCACAGACAATTGGATAGACACATTGTGCTTTTTATAAACCACGGATTTTTTTCTCGGGATGAGCACCTCCGGCGGCCGGCCCAATGTAGCTGTCAGAGGGGGGCGGGATCAGGGAGGGGGTGAGTAGGAAAACAATGAGGAATGGAGGGGAGGGAGGGAGCAAGATGGATAGGTAGAGGGAGGCGGGGGTGAGGGATCCTTGCTGGAGACTGAAATAGTGTGAGTTGTTGTAGATTGTGGGACCTTGTTTATGGCCTTGGTCGAGGAATGTGAGATAAGAGTGGAGAGAAGGCACAGGAGGAGAAAACACATCGCCTGAGAGGGACAATATTGTATGCAATGTAGCAGTCAAAAGCAGGCAGATATTCTATTAATTCCAATTAAACCGAATTACGGCGCCCTCAGACCTCCGTACACAGGGGCAAATCCAAGCCGGGTCAGAGAGTTCAAGCCTGGCAAACGATGTCATTCAATCTCAATTCCAGAGTTTTATGCCCATCAAGTGAACGAGCTGCGAGATCTTTGATCAACTGCTCCACCAACACCACTCTCCTTTGTCCAGCCACAGCGCTCTCAACCACGACGCGGCTAAGCTCCTTGTACATCCCATCAATTTTGTCGGCCAGCAGGTCGTGAATCTTGCGAACTGCCATGCCTCCGAATTTGTGGTAGAAGAGGATCGCTCCAAACCCAAACAGGAGGATTCCCACCACCAAAATGCCAAAGATATATACGTCTTCCGAATCTTCAATGGACAGGGTCGACAGACAGAGGGGCTGAAACTTGTTCCAGCTGTCAAGAGTATACCCCGCAGGTGAAGTCCCGTCCGGGCACACGGGCTCTCCAGACCCACGCTTACGTGTTGAAAAGATAGAATCAATTGCGTTGAGGGACCAGTTAATCATTTCCATTCTGTTAAAGTTGTCTGTGGCAAAACTCCAGGAAAAAAGACAAAAACAGGAGATAGCAAGCCGTTCAGAAGCAGGAGCGGACTAAGACACGTCTTTGCTCGACGGAGGAGGAAGTGAGAGTGTCTCTTACTTACAAAGATAGAACTTAAAAGCATTTTAACAGAGAAAAAACATGTCCTCGTATGAGGACAGTGGGTCTCTCATAACCTAAAGAGAAAATGTAAGATCTTTTAGGCCGGAAGGTCCTAATTAGTTGAAATTCAAAATTTCAGCTTGATCCAATTAGTACTTCTCTCAAAAATCAATGTCCTCACATGAGGACAGTGGGTCGACCTTACTAATACAATACAAATAGACTCCATTGGTCTAAAATAGTATATAACAGTTTATTTGAAAAATGTAAACATCAAAGTTAGACATAAAATCCAAACAGCTCTATCTTCAAAGCCTAAAAATGTCATGGTGTGGACATTTTGACCTGGTTGAGTTTGAATCCTGCCTGTCCTGTTGATTGTTGCCCCCGCCCTAATGTGATTCACCTGTGTGTCCCTGTGTGTCCCTGTGTGTGTGTATATACCCTGTGCCCTTCCTCACTTGTTGTCCGTCCATTGTCTCCACAATGTTTGTCCTGTCTTCAGTTCTGTTTTTACATTACCTTGGATTTATTTTATTAAATTACTTTGATTTTCAGTCCTGCAATTTGGGTTCCCTTTTCTTCATTCATCCACATGACAAAAAATTGGCTATACATAAATAAAACCGCAAAATACTGTGTAAACTGTCTATTTCAAGCCTTCAATATGGCTGAATTGAATTGATAAATACAATACTAGAACAAATATGGCAAATATTATTAACAGTCCTAAAACAGTAAAATTCTGCTGAACAGCTTATGAACCGGGGCTTTTTTTCAAACTAGCTCCCTCTCTTTTTCTAGAAAGCAATCTGTCTGCCTGTTTGGAAGAGCCCTATTGGCAAGTGTGAAATGCTGCAAAGCAGTTGCATTCACTTTGCAAGCACAGGTACACATTGCATGTCATGCATCGGACACAGGATTTTCCAATGCAGTCTTGTGTGCTCTGCAACGCATGGGGTTTTTCAAGGCTACCATCTCCGGGTTAGAGTTAGGATTAACAATATCCCCAGTCGAGGTCAGCAGCTCTCCACCCGCACCATACACGGTGTTGGCAAAAGCACTGCTTCCCCCTCCTAGGCGCCGGAGGGTTTGCCATAACCTTTTTGAGGGCGACCGATAGTCATGCTCCATGGACTCTCCGAACTCCTCCCAGTGTCGGGTTTTTGCCTCTGCAACAGCCCGGGCCGCGGCACGCTTGGCCTGCCGGTACTGGACAGCTGCCTCCGGAGTCCCACAAACCATCATTGCTCGATAGGACTCCTTCTTCAGCCTGACGGCATCCTTACTGCCGGTGTCCCACCACCGGTTCGGGGATTGCCGCCGGACCAGCACCAGAGACCTTGCGACCACAGCTACGAGCCGCTTATTGGTGATAGAGGAAGAGAACATGGTCCACTCGGACTCAATGTCCCCCTCCTCTGGGTCCTGGGAGAAGCTCTCCCGGAAGTGTGAGTTGAAAGTCCGTCCTGACAGGGGGCTCAGCGAGACTTCCCAGCAGACCCTCACTATACGCTTGGGTCTGCCAGGTCTGACCGGCTTCTTCCCCTGCCAGCGGATCCAACTCACGACCAGGTGATGATCGGTTGACAGCTCCTCCCCTCTCTATTACCCAAGTGTCCGAGACACGCGTCGAAGGTCAGATGATACGACAACAAAGTCGATCATCAACCTCCGGCCTAGGGTGTCCTGGTGCCACGTGCACTGGTGGACACCCTTGTGCTCGAACATGGTGTTCGTGATGGACAGGACCGTGACTGGCACAGAAAGTCCAACAACTGAACACCGCTCGGGTTCAGATCAGGGGGCCGTTCTTCCCGATCACCCCTCTCCAAGTGTCACTGGCATTTCCCACATGGGCGTTGAAGTCCCCCAGGAGAATAACGGAGTCCCCGGGAGGTGCACCGTCCAGTACCCCCTCCCAAGGACTCCAAGAAGGCAGGAACTCGGCACTGCCGTTAGGCCCGTAGGCCGTCACAACAATGGGAGACTTGTCCCACCCGGAGGCGGAGGGACGCGACCCTCTCATTCACCGGGGAGAACTCCAACACATGGCGGCTGAGATGGGGGGCAATGAGTATGGCCACCCCAGCTCGCCGCCTCTCCCCGTGGGAAACACCAGAAGATGACTGACAGGTATGAGATGATGATACAATCATCCCCATCTGAGAAGTCCTCTATCTCAGAGTTGTCTGCAATTGCCAACAGCAATTGTTCTGCTCTTGACAATGAAAGTGTGCCTGTAATGATAATATCTAAATCTTCCACACGGTTAGCTAAACAGATAGCGGTACATAGTCCTAGCGTCCTCAAACGAGTGCTTCACTTTTACTGACATCCTAGCCTGCTACTACAATCAAAATTTGTCAAATTTCAAACTCCATATGAAGCTAGAGACATTATTGTGCATAAAAAAATTGATTTCATTCATAAAATGTTGATAGAATTTTTACCTGGGGCATTTTTCTTCTGTAAACTCTTGTAGAAGTCTTTTGCTGATATTGCCACCATTTTTTTCCTACTGCCTTAAGTGTAATTCTATCATATCACCACAAGATGGCGCGGGCAGTGTCCCTAAATGTGGCCATCAGGTCAAGGATGTAAAAAATTTAGTATCATTGTGCCAAGAGGCAAAAATGTAATGTCCTCGTATGAGGTCGCAGGGTCTCAGGAGGTTAAGTTCAGGAACCTTTTGTTGTCTTTGGTGCGTCAAAGAAGATTGTTAAGAGACACTACTACCAAGCCCGAGCTAAGTTCGAAACAGCTGGAGGAAGAAGTACAGGTCCAGATGGAACATTACAAAGCCCAATATTCAACGGTACACCTCACAGTGGAAGATTTAATTGCTGCTGAGAAGGCTGTGATAATGTTTTGTCAAAGAACAAGATTTCCCGAAGAAATTGCGAACTTGGAGAAGGGAGAATGTGTAAAAAGAACAAGTCACATCTACAAGCTTAACCCAATCCTTGAAAACGACCTCATTAGAGTTGGGGGAAGGCTGAGTGAAGCAGCTATGCCAGTTGAAGCTGAACACCCAGTGATCCTGGCCAAAGACTTACACATTTCCAGCTTAATTCTCAGTCGCGTACATCAAGAAACGGGTCATGGAGGACGCAATCATATGCTTTCCCACCTACGACAAAAATACTGGATTCCTGGTGCTTGTGCTGCCATCCGAAAGGTCTTGTCGAAGTGTGTTACCTGCCAAAGAATGTCTGCATCACCTGGGCATCAGAAAATGGCCCACTTGCCTTACAGCAGAATAACTCCAGACGAACCCCCCTTTAGTCACGTTGGCTTAGATTGTTTTGGGCCGTTTGAAGTGAAGCGTGGACGTGCTGTAGTCAAGAGATATGGACTCATTTTTACCTGCATGGCAATTCGAGCTGTACATCTTGAAGTCCTGTCCTCGCTAGACACAGATTCCTTCATCAACGGACTCAGAAGATTCATCGCAAGACGTGGCCAAGTCCTGGAAATCCGTTCAGACAATGGAACAAATTTTGTTGGCGCTGAACGAGAACTAAGGGAAGCCATTGACAAGTGGAATCACAATCTCGTAAATGGCATGCTGATGCAGAAAGGAGTGAAATGGGTTTTCAATACCCCAGCTGCATCGCACCATGGAGGAGTTTGGGAGAGGCTAATTCGCTCAGTTCGTAAAGTCCTTAACTCAGTCCTGAAAACTCAGTCCTGGGACGAAGAAGGCCTGGCGACAGTTTTTTGTGAAGTTGAAGCAATCGTTAATAGCCGTCCGATAACAAAAGCATCGACAGATCCTAACAATTTAGAGGCGTTAACACCGAACCATCTACTGTTACTCAAATCTCAACCGTCACTGCCACCTGGATTGTTTGAAAAGGCTGATTGTTACGCTCGTCGTCGCTGGAGACAAGTTCAGTATATGTCCAGTCTGTTCTGGAAGCGTTGGTTAAAGGAGTATCTTCCAGGATTGCAAGAGCGTCAAAAATGAAATTGTGCTCAAAGGAATTTCTTGCCTGGAGATGTTGTCTTGCTTGTGGATGACATGTCACAGCGTAATTTATGGATTACAGCTCGAGTCGTGGATACTGTGTCGGACAGGAATGGATTAGTACGCACAGTGAAGATTAAAACAAAATCAAGTACTTTGGACCGTCCGATTACCAAGCTGTGCCTTTTGCAGGAAGCAGATGAGCAGTGAAGATCGTGTGGATTATAACTTTGAACTTTCTTTCATTGTGGATTACTTGAATTAACTGAGACCTGGTTAGACCTGGGTTAGACCTGGGTTAAATGTGGGTTAGACCTGGGTTAGACCTGGGTCAGACCTGGGCTAGACCTGGGTCAGACCTGGGTCAGACCTAGGTTAGATCTGGGTTAGACCTGGGTCGGACCTGGGTTGGACCTGGGTTAGACCTGGGTAAAACCTGGGTCAGACCTGGCTTAGATCCGGGTTAGACCTGGGTTAGACCTGGGTTAGACTTGGGTTAGACCTGGGTTAAATGTGGGTTAGACCTGGGTTTGACCTGGGTTAGATCTGGGTCAGACCTTGGTTAGACCTGGGTCAGACCTGGGTTAGACCTGGGTCAGACCTGGGTCAGACCTTGGTTGGACCTGGGTCGGACCTGGGTCAGACCTGGGTCAGACCTGGGTTAGACCTGGGTTAGACCTGGGTTAGACCTGGGTTAAATGTGGGTTAGACCTGAGTTAGACCTGGGTCAGACCTGGGTTGGACCTGGGTTAGACCTGGGTTAGACCTGGGTCAGACCTGGGTCAGACCTGGGTGTGTCTCAGTGGGTTGGATTCCTCTAATGCCAAAGAGTCACTGATACACACTCTCCCGCACGCGCGCACACACACGCATGCATGCCCGACCACACACACACACACATACATACACGCACACACACACATACACGCGCACACACAGACACACACACACACACACACACACATATACACACACCGACACACACGCAACCAGACACACACTCACATGGGCGCACTTGTACAACTCACTTTCAAACGTGATCAACCTTCACAAACTGCTGCTGGAACAAGAGAGGGGGAAGGAACTAGGAGCTAGGAGCTAGGAGCTGAAGAGGAACTAGGAGACACCTGTGCTATACCCTGACCTTTGACCTACGACGGATCCTCACCTGAAGGAGATAGGAGAGAGGAGCTAGGATAGAGGAGCTAGGAGGTAGGACACTGTGTTTGTGTGTTTGTGTGTTTGCAAGAGTTTTAAAGCTAGAGTACTTAGCTTTCATCTGATAGAACATGGACAGCATGCTTGCTGAGTGGTTAGCACTCTCGTTTCTCAACAGAAGGTCCTGGGTTTGTATCCCGGTCAAAACAGAGACCTCCTCTTGACAGAGACCTCCTCCTGACTCAGACCCCGTCCTGACAGAGACCTCCTTCTACCTGAGACCTCCTCCTGACTGAGACCTCCTGGGACCTCCTCCTGACTGAGAGTGAGGGAAGGGTAAGGGCAGAATGGTGTGGATGAGAGTGGACAGGTTAGAAGTGAACCATATTCATACACACACACACTGCAGGCACGCACGCACACACACACACACACACACACACACACACACGCACACACAAACACACAAACACATATACACACACCGACACACACGCAACCAGACACACACTCACATGGGCGCACTTGTACAACTCACTTTCAAACGTGATCAACCTTCACAAACTGCTGCTGGAACAAGAGAGGGGGAAGGAACTAGGAGCTAGGAGCTAGGAGCTGAAGAGGAACTAGGAGACACCTGTGCTATACCCTGACCTTTGACCCACGACGGAGCCTCACCTGAAGGAGCTAGGAGAGAGGAGCTAGGATAGAGGAGCTAGGAGGTAGGTCACTGTGTTTGTGTGTTTGCAAGAGTTCTGCTGAGTGGTTAGCACTCTCGTTTCTCAACAGAAGGTCCTGGGTTTGTATCCCGGTCAAAACAGAAACCTCCTCTTGACAGAGACCTCCTCCTGACTCAGACCCCGTCCTGACAGAGACCTCAACTTGACAGAGACCTCCTTCTACCTGAGACCTCCTCCTGACTGAGACCTCCTGGGACCTCCTCCTGACTGAGAGTGAGGGAGGGGTAAGGGCAGAATGGTGTGGATGAGAGTGGACAGGTTAGAAGTGAACCATATTCATACACACACACACTGCAGGCACGCACGCACACACACACACACACACATACACGCGCACACACACACACACACACACACACACACACACACACACACACACACACACACACACACACACACACACTCACACACAAACACACAAACACACACTCACACTCAGTGTTTTGTGAATAATTTGATGACTGCTGTTGTGAGGGAGTAAGGGAATGTATACATTTGATTTGATGGTTCAGACCTGGTTCAGACCTGGTTCAGACCTGGTTCAGACCTGGTTCAGACCTGGTTTAGACCTGGTTTAGACCTGGTTCAGTCCTGGTTCAGTCCTGGTTCAGACCTGGTTCAGACCTGGTTTAGACCTGGTTTAGACCTGATTTGGACCTGGTTCAGTCCTGGTTCAGTCCTGGTTCAGACTTGGTTCCGACCTGGTTCAGACCTGGTTCAGACCTGGTTTAGACCTGGTTTAGACCTGGTTTAGACCTGGTTTAGACCTGGTTTAGACCTGATTTGGACCTGGTTCAGTCCTGGTTCAGACTTGGTTCAGACCTGGTCTTCATCGTCACATGACTCGAGCTGTTTTTAGAGCTCACTGATCCGTGTGGGAAAACATCCCAGAGCAGATCCACTTTCATCATGAGCCTTTGGTCTCGAGTCGGTCTCAGATAGAGACCACAAACCAGGTCTAGGTCTGACACACTTTCAATATGGCCCCTTCTCTGGTCTCTCTCTGGTCTCTCTGGTTTCTTTCGGTTTTCTCCGGTCTCTCTCTGGTCTCTGGTGTTTCTGGTCTCTCTCTATGGTCTCTCTTGTTAGGAATGTGAAACACTCACAAGCCCTCCCACAGGACATGGCTCAGTCTGCCCCAGGGCGGCTGTGGCATAACACATTGCTCAGTAACAACTTAGAAGTTAGAAGGTAAGAGACACAACAGCTGCTGCCATGACAACCCCCCCTCCCTCCTCAAGGGTGCCCAAACTTGCAGGCCCGAGGTCACTGAGGATGACAATGACACGGACATCACGGACATCACCCTCACCCCTCCTGAGCTCCTCCCCCTCTGTATGTTATAAACACAGTGATGTCCCTCACCCCTCCTCCCCCTCTGTATGTTATAAACACAGTGATGTCCCTCACCCCTCCTCCCCCTCTGTATGTTATAAACACAGTGATGTCCCTCACCCCTCCTCCCCCTCTGTATGTTATAAACACAGTGATGTACCTCACCCCTCCTCCCCCTCTGTATGTTATAAACACAGTGATGTCCCTCACCCCTCCTCCCCCTCTGTATGTTATAAACACAGTGATGTCCCTCACCCCTCCTCCCCCTCTGTATGTTATAAACACAGTGATGTACCTCACCCCTCCTCCCCCTCTGTATGTTATAAACACAGTGATGTCCCTCACCCCTCCTCCCCCTCTGTATGTTATAAACACAGTGATGTACCTCACCCCTCCTCCCCCTCTTTATTGTTATAAACACAGTGATGTCCCTCACCCCTCCTCCCCCTCTGTATGTTATAAACACAGTGATGTACCTCACCCCTCCTCCCCCTCTGTATGTTATAAACACAGTGATGTCCCTCACCCCTCCTCCCCCTCTGTATGTTATAAACACAGTGATGTCCCTCACCCCTCCTCACCCTCTGTATGTTATAAACACAGTGATGTCCCTCACCCCTCCTCACCCTCTGTATGTTATAAACACAGTGATGTCTCTCACCCCTCCTCACCCTCTTTATTGTTATAAACACAGTGATGTCCCTCACCCCTCCTCCCCCTCTGTATGTAATAAACACAGTGATGTCCCTCACCCCTCCTCCCCCTCTTTATTGTTATAAACACAGTGATGTCCCTCACCCCTCCTCACCCTCTTTATTGTTATAAACACAGTGATGTCCCTGGTGCTGCCCCCTGCTGGCGCTCAGCTGTTCACACACTTCACTCTTCAGTCGCTGCAGAAAATACAAGCAAAATATGAAGAGGAACAAAAACGAATTAAGAAACTCCAGGAGGAAAACACTGAGGTAACGTGACGTAAACCCCCAAATAGTGTGTGTGTGTGTGTGTGTATTTATAGTGTGTGTGTGTGTGTGTGTGTGTGTGTGTTTATAGTGTGTGTTTGTGTGTGTGTTTATAGTGTGTGTGTGTGTGTTTATAGTGTGTGTATGTATGTTTATAGTGTGTGTGTGTTCATATATTAAATGCAGTTCAATGCTTTTACCTCAGATTCCAGAGGACGATCTTCTCAAACCGAGCTCAGACCTGGAGGCAGGACAACCGCTTCCCTTCATCTATGGAAACCCCGCCCCTGAGTTTCTACAAACACCTTTGGAAGACCTGGATCCATTCTACCAATCACACAAGGTCTGACTTCAAACAGACAAATGCAAAAGTTCTAGGAGTCCAAAACTGAGGCTGTAGATCCAGGACTGAGGCTGTAGATCCAGGACTGAGGCTGTAGATCCAGGACTGAGGCTGCAGATCCAGGACTGAGGCTGTAGATCAAGGACCGAGGCTGTAGATCAGCGACTGAGGCTGTAGACCCAGGACTGAGGCTGTCGACCCACCCTGAGGCTATAGAGCCCGGACTGAGGCTGTAGATCCAGGACTGAGGCTGTAGATCCAGGACTCAGGCTGTAGACCCAGGACTGAGGCTGCAGATCCAGGACTGAGGCTGTAGATCCAGGACTGAGGCTGCAGATCCAGGACTGAGGCTGTCGACCCAGGACTGAGGCTGTAAATGGTTGTGTTCCTGAACTCTACTCTTCTTTCAGACGTTCATAGTTCTGGGGAAGGGAAATGTCATTTATCGTTTTAACGCCGAGCCGGCCTGTTACCTGCTGTCGCCCTTCAGTCCAGTGCGTCGGCTGGCCATAAGGATCCTCATCCATTCATATCCTTCATGTGTTCATGTGTTCATAACCCCAAACCCCAAACCCCTAAGCCGAACCGCCAAAACCAAACTCATGAGGCTGGAATCCTTCACAGGGTCCTGGGGTCTTCAGGGTTAGTCTCATGTGTTCATCCTTCACCCTCTCACTCTCTTCAGTTTGTTCATCATGATGACCATCCTCTCCAACTGTATGTTCATGACCATGAGTGACCCTCCGCCCTGGAGCAAGACCGTGGAGTGAGTTCTGACCCAGACCAGAGCCAGACCAAGACCAGGCCAAAACCAACACCCAGACCCAAACCAAGTTAGACCCAGACCAGATTCAAACCAAGCCAAGACCCAGACCAAGACCCAAACCTGACTTTTTCAAAGAAGTCTATGTGTTTGTGAATGTTCAGTACCTACAAGAATAATCCGCAGGTACGTGTTCACGGGGATCTACACGATTGAGGCTCTGGTGAAAGTCTGCTCCAGAGGGTTCTGTGTGGGAGACTTCACCTTCCTGAGGGACCCATGGAACTGGCTGGACTTCATGGTTATATCTATGGCGTAAGTAACTGCCCCAGTGTGCCCCAAATATGTTTTTATTAAAAGGATTTTTGAGATGTTCCTCTTCTGAAAGTCGCAATATGTACCACACCACACCATAGAGTACTGTACCACACCACACTATACTTTACTGTACCATACCACACCATAATATACTGTACCGTACTCCACAGGAAGCCAGAGGAGTAATTTTAACACTGGAGTTATGTGTTCTCTCCTTTTGGTGCCTGCTGTATTTTGGACGAGCTGGAATCTTTTTTTAAATAAAGGAATAAGGGCACGCTGCCAGCAGGGCGTAACAGTTGTCAAGCCTTGAGGCGACAACAACGTGGATGAGTTTTTAAGAAGAATATTCCTAATTTGGTTGCACTGTTGAAAATATGTTGTTTTAGTGGCTTGAAGACTCCCAAGATTCCTTAAAATGTTGCTAGGGCCCTTAAAGTGTCACTAGAGGCCCTTACAGTTCTGCTGACCCTGACCCTGTCTCCCTCTGATGCAGGTATCTCACAGAGTTTGTGGATCTTGGGAACGTGTCAGCACTCAGGACATTCAGAGTACTACGGGCCCTTAAAACCATCACTGTGATCCCTGGTGAGAACCCGAACCCAACCCCCCAAACCTAACCCTAAACCCTGTCCCCTGTCCCCCAACTATAACCATCCAACCCATTACATCCTCCAAATACAAGTTCGTGGAGTCATTTGTTTGAGATCGAGACTCAGGACTAGAGACCAGACGCTGTTCTTCTGATGTCTGTAGTCTGATAACAGTCTGGTCTCTGTTCTCTCTCTAGTCTCAGTCTGGTCTCTCTCTGAACTCTGGTCTTTTTCTTGTAAAGGCTGCTGTGGGTAAAGGGTTTTCTATCAGACCCAGCACCAGAGCAAAGCAGACTCTACCCATATCCTCAGGTCCTGCAGCCACAGCGGCCCTTTCTGCACTGGTTTGGACACTTCTGGTCAAGTCCTTGGTTTAGTCTGGTCTCAGTCCGGTCTCTGGTCTCAGTCCAATCTCTGGTTTGAGTCTAGTCTCTGTCTGGCTCAAAATTGGCCAAAATGACGTGCGCTATACCCCCCCCCCGGGCCGATGGGGGTGGACCCGGATTAAGAATTAGCCAATGCTAACATATAGCATCTTCTTACCTCTCAAAAACGTCAATGTGAAACGTTTTTGAGAGGTAAAAAACTCTAGTTTACCCACTGTGAATTTTTGAAGTAACTTGTTTAAATGAATGGGGCTCGTGCCGGCTGCCGCATATTGTTTCACAATTTCCAGCCCCCGCGGTCATTTTGAGTCACTCCATGAAAGCCAAATTTTTGGCCCATTAGTTAGAACGGCGGAGATAGGTGTGACTACGTCCTTTAATATATACAGTCTATGGTCTGGTCCCTGGTCTCTGTCCGGTCCCTGGTTTCAGTCTGGTCTCTTCTTGCAGGTCTAAAGACGATAGTGGGCGCCCTGATTCAGGCAGTGAAGAAGCTCGCAGATGTGATGATCCTGACGGTCTTCTGCCTCAGTGTCTTCGCTCTGATTGGTCTTCAGCTCTTCATGGGGAACCTGCGACAGAAGTGTGTGCTGATCCCGCCCACTTTTGGACAGGCCCCGCCCACCTACAGCCCAGCCACGCCCACTTACGAAACATCCCTGAACACCACAGACGTCTTCACAAACCGATCTCACGAGCAGTTTGACTACTTTGAGTTCATCAATAACCCAGGTGAATGTCCCCTCTCAGGGTTAGGGTTAGGGTTAGGGTTAGATACCCTAACCCGTTCTCTAACCCAGCACGAATCTTTTTGTCTCTTCTTTTGCAGAAAATTACTACTTCCTAGAGGGACAAATAGATCCGCTTCTGTGTGGGAACAGCTCTGACGCCGGGTGAGAATTTTTACAATGAACAAAGAACAGTTTTGTTGATATATTTGTGAACAAACACAAAGATACTAAAAGTGAGGTTTGAAGAATACTCCTGGTGTTTCCAGTATTTGTCCGGATGGGTACGTGTGCCTGAAAGCCGGTCCAAACCCAGACTACGGGTACACCAGTTATGACACCTTCGCCTGGGCTTTTCTCGCTCTCTTCAGACTTATGACTCAAGACTTCTGGGAGAACCTTTTCCAGCTGGTACGGCCCCTACCCCCCATAATCCCCAAACCCTAATTCGTAACCCTAACCTGCCTCTCCGCAGACCATGCGAGCTGCAGGGAAGGCCTACATGCTCTTCTTTGTGGTGGTGATCTTTCTTGGCTCGTTTTATCTCATTAACCTGATCCTCGCCGTAGTCGCTATGGCCTACGCTGAGCAGAATCAGGCCAGCATTGATGAGAAGCGCAAGAAGGACCAAGAGTATGAACAAATACTGATTATCCTGAAAGAGCGAGAGCAAGAGGTCTGTAAAAAGCCCAGACTGGATAAAAGACTGGACAAGAGACTGGGACTGAACCAAAGACCAGAGATCAATAATACAAACAAATACTGACGATTCTGAAGGAGCAAGAGTAGGAAGTCTGGAATAAGACTGGACCAGAGCCATAACTGGACCTAATCCTCGTCGTTAGATGATCACCTGTACTGAACTCTGATCTCTGTGTTTCCAGAGGGCGGCTCTGGACCCGGACTCTGAGGACAAGGCTGAAGGTACAACCACAATGATGGGATCCAGGACAAGCCTTTGACATTCTTACTGAAGGTTTTATCTCAGTTGTGTATACATAAAGTGATAAACATAAAACCTTAAAACAAATGAAAGATATTGTACTGGTGATGGCAGCTCATAACCCACACATCCCTGACCCTAACTCTTACTGTATGTTTGTGTAGATCCAGAAGAACGGCCCTGTCCTCCATGTTGGTACTCCTTCTCCTCACTCTTCCTGATCTGGGACTGCCCGTGCTACCGCCCCCTAAAAGTCGTCCTGCACACAATTGTCATGGACCCATTTGTGGATTTGGGCATCACCATCTGCATTGTTCTGAATACTGTGTTTATGGCCATGGAACATTTCCCCATGTCTGAGGACTTTGAGAACTTGCTGACAGTGGGGAACCTGGTGGGTGTCCTAGCCCTAACCTTTTAGTATAGAGCCCCAGCCCTAGCCGTAACCATTTAGTATAGAGCTCTCTCTGATTGTGTCTGGTTCCAGGTCTTCACTGGAATCTTCACGGCTGAGATGGTCCTCAAGCTCGTGGCTCTGGATCCGTACCATTATTTCCAGGTGGGTTTGTCCTGGTTCAGATCTAGTTTTGACCTGGTTTGGGCCTGTTTGGAACCAGTTACAGAGCTGGTTCAGATCTGGTTTCTCTTTGGTCTCAGGTGGGATGGAACATCTTTGACTGTATCATCGTCACAATGAGCCTCGTAGAGCTCGGATTGGCCAACGTCCAGGGGCTGTCTGTACTACGCTCCTTTCGATTGGTTAGTTCAAACCAGCATCTCACTACTACCTCAATACTACTACTACTACTTCTACAATTGCTACTACAACTTCTAAACCAACTGCTACTACAACAGCAACCACTACTACTAATCCGTCCGTCCGTTTTCTTCTGCTTCGCGGGGGCAGCAGTCTAAGCAGAGACGCCCAGACTTCCCTATCCACACACACTTCCTCCAGCTCGTCCGGGGGGACCCCAAGGCGTTCCCAGGCCAGCTGAGAGACATAGTCCCTCCAGCGTGTCCTGGGTCTTCCCCGGAGCCTCCTCCCGGTGGGACGTGCCCGGAACACCTCCCCAGGGAGGCGTCCAGGAGGCATCCGGAACAGATGCCCGAGCCACCTCAACTGGTTCCTCTCGACGTGGAGTAGCAGCGGCTCTACTCTGAGCTCCTCCCGTGTGACTGAGCTCCTCACCCTATCTCTAAGGGAGCGCCCAGCCACTCTGCGGAGGAAGCTCGTTCGTTCGTCATCTCGTTCTTTCGGTCATTACCCAAAGTTCATGACCATAGGTAAGGGAGGGAACGAAGATTGACCGGTTAATTGAGAGCTTTGCCTTTCGGCTCAGCTCCCTCTTTACCACAACGGTCCGATACAGCGACCGCATCACTGCGTACGCTGCACCGATCCGCCTGTCAATCTCACGCTCCATCCTTCCCTCACTCGTGAACAAGACCCCGAGATACTTGAACTCCTCCACTTGAGGCAGGACCTCTCCACCCACCTGAAGAGAGCAAGGCATCTTTTTCCGGTCGAGCACCATGGCCTCCGATTTGGAGGTGCTGATTATCATCCCAGCCGCTTCACACTCGGCTGCAAACCGCTCCAGTGCATGCTGCAGGTCCTGGTTTGTTGGAGCCAACAGGACAACATCGTCCGCAAACAGCAGAGATGAAATCCTGTGGTCCCCGAACCGGACCCCCTCCGGCCCCTGGCTGCGCCTAGATATTCTGTCCATGAATACAGTGAACAGAACCGGTGACAAAGGGCAGCCCTGTCGGAAGCCAACATGCACCGGGAACAGGTCTGACTTACTGCCGGCAATGCGAACACAGCTCTGGCTCCGGTCATACAGGGACCGAACAGCCCTCAGCAGAGGACCCCGGACCCCGTACTCCCTGAGAACCCCCCAAAGAACACCCCGGGGAACACGGTCGAACGCCTTCTCCAAATCCACAAAGCACATGTGGACAGGTTGGGCGAACTCCCATGAGCCCTCGAGTATCCGATGGAGAGTATAGAGCTGGTCCAGTGTTCCGCGGCCGGGACGAAAACCACACTGCTCCTCCTGAATCCGAGATTCGACCATCGGCCGTAGCCTCCTCTCCAGTACCTTGGAGTAAACCTTACCAGGGAGGCTGAGGAGTGTGATCCCACGATAATTGGAACACACCCTCCGGTCCCCTTTCTTATAGAGAGGGACCACCACCCCGGTCTGCCACTCCATCGGCACCGCCCCTGATCGCCACGCGATGTTGCAGAGACGTGTCAGCCAAGACAGTCCCACAACATCCAGAGACTTTAGATAGTCAGGACAGATCTCATCCACTCCCGGCGCCTTGCCACCAAGGAGGCTGCCAACCACCTTGGTGACCTCCGCCAGGGAGATGGAAGTATCCGCCCCAACATCTTCAGCCTCTGCCTCCGGGACGGAGGACGTGACGGGGGGGTTGAGGAGAACCTCAAAGTATTCCTTCCACCGCCCGACAATATCCCCAGTCGAGGTCAGCAGCTCTCCGCCCGCACCGTACACGGTTTTGGCAAAGCACTGCTTCCCCCTCCTGAGGCACCGGACGGTTTGCCAGAATCTCTTCGAGGCCGACCGATAGTCCTGCTCCATGGAGTCTCCAAACTCCTCCCAGACCCGGGTTTTTGCCTCTGCAACAACCCGAGCCGCGGCACGCTTGGCCTGCCGGTACTGGACAGCTGCCTCAGGAGTCCCCCGAACCATCATGGCTCGATAGGACTCCTTCTTCAGCCTGACGGCATCCCTTACTGCCGGTGTCCACCACCGGGTTCGGGGGTTGCCACCAGGACCAGCACCAGAGACCTTGCGACTACAGCTACGAGCTGCCGCATCGGCGATAGAGGAAGAGAACATGGTCCACTCAGACTCAATGTCCCCCTCCTCTGCCGGGACCTGGGAGAAGCTCTCCCGGAGGTGTGAGTTGAAAATCCGTCTGACAGGGGGCTCAGCGAGACGTTCCCAGCAGACCCTCACTACACGCTTGGGCCTGCCAGGTCTGACCGGCTTCCTCCCCTGCCAGCGGATCCAACTCACAACCAGGTGGTGATCGGTTCACAGCTCCGCCCCTCTCTTCACCCGAGTGTCCGAGACACGCGGTCGAAGGTCAGATGAAACAACAACAAAGTCGATCATCGACCTCCGGCCTAGGGTGTCCTGGTGCCACGTGCACTGGTGGACACCCTTGTGCTCGAACATGGTGTTCGTGATGGACAAACTGTGACTAGCACAGAAGTCCAACAACTGAACACCGCTCGGGTTCAGATCAGGGGGGCCGTTCTTCCCTATCACCCCTCTCCAAATGTCACTGGCATTTCCCACATGGGCGTTGAAGTCCCCAAGGAGAATAACGGAGTGCCCGGGCGGTGCACCGTCCAGTACACCTCCCAAGGACTCCAAGAAGGCTGGGTACTCTACACTGCCTTTAGGCCCGTAGGCCGTCACAACTGTGAGAGACTTGTCCCCCACCCGAAGGCGGAGGGACGCGACCCTCTCATTCACCGGGGAGAACTCCAACACGTGGCGGCTGAGATGGGGGGCAATGAGTATGGCCCCCCCAGCTCGCCGCCTCTCCCCGCGAGAGACACCAGAAAAGTGGAGCGTCCAACCCCTCTCAAGGAGTTGGGTTCCAGAGCCCAAGCTGTGTGTGGAGGTGAGGCCGACTATCTCTAGTCGGTATCGCTCGACCTCCCCCACAAGCTCTGGCTCCTTCCCCCCCAGCGAGGTGACGTTCCACGTCCCAAGAGCCAGATGTTGTGTGTGCGGACTGGGTCGCCAAGGTCTCCGCCTTCGGCTGCTGCCCAGTCCTCTCAGCACCGTTTCGCCACCACAGACCCCTCTGCAGGTGGTGGGCCCACAGGAGGGACTGCCCACGTCGTCCTTTCGGGCTGAGCCCGGCCGGGCCCCGTGGGCTAAGGCCCGGCCACCAGGCGCTCGCATACGAGCCCCGACCCCAGGCCTGGCTCCAGGGTGGGGCCCCGGCTGCGCCATGCAGTCAATAGAAAACAAGCAACTCTTTTAAAGGAATTTTATTTTAGATTTTTTTTTCGAATTGCAGTGATTCTATTTTTGACATAGAATTTAATGCCATTCCATGTCCGATGTCTAAGGTCATCTGGTGAGGCATTAATGCAGGCCATGCAGTGAGACTTCCCAGGGACTTTTCCAGTCTGTATGAAAGGCGTCATGGTCTTCTCCACAGCCTTCACCTCAGATGCAGACCATGGCTTTCTTACACGTTCTAGGGCGAGAAATAAAGATATATTAGCAATATACGCTCCCAGGGTTAGGACCAAGCAGCCTGGCTGTAATCCCCCACCTGGTACACTTACCAGAAGGGGCACTGCCACTACCATGGCAAGGCAAGGCAAGTTTATTTGTATAGCACAATTCATACACAAGGCATAAATAATCACAGAACATTAAAACGAAAGATAAAAATATAAAATCCCTCAGTTGTATGCACAGCTAAACAGCATCGTTTTTAACTTGGTTTTAAACATTGTCAGAGAGGAGGCCTGTCTCACATCTTCAGGAAGATTGTTCCAGATTTTAGCAGCATGATTCTGAAAAGCAGCCTCCCCATGTTTAGTTCTGACTCTGGGCACTAACAGGAGTCTAGTCCCTGTGCTCCTCAGAGTCCGGGCTGGTTCATATGGGACTAACATGTCACTAATATATTTTGGTGCGAGGCCATGGAGAGACTTGTACACAAGCAGAGCTGTTTTAAAGTCTATTCTCTGAGCCACAGGAAGCCAGTGCAGGGACCTGAGGACTGGACTAATGTGGTCGTACTTCCTGGTTCTAGTCAGGACTCCGGCTGCTGCATTTTGAATGTACTGCAGCTGTTTTACAGCCTGTTTGGAGAGACCTGTGAGCAGGCCATTGCAGTAGTCTAACCTACTGGAGACAAATGCATGGATAAGAATCTCCAAGTCTGCTTTAGACACTATGTTTTTGATCCTGGCAATGTTTTTTAGATGGTAAAAAGCTGCTGATGTTACTGATTTGATGTGGCTATTAAAATTTAAGTCTGAGTCCAGTATTACCCCTAGATTTCTGACCTTGTTTGAAGGTTTTAGGGAGAGAGACTGTAGATGACAGATGACGCTCTCTCTTTGTTTCTGGGGACCAAAGACAATCATTTCAGTTTTGTCTGCGTTTAGCTGAAGGAAGTTGTTTTGCATCCACTCACTGATCTGTTGGATACAGTGAAGGAGTGAGTCCAGTGGTCCATGTTCTCCTGCAGTCAGTGAGACATAGATCTGAGTGTCGTCTGCATAGTTGTGATAGGACACTTTGTTTATGCGTATTAACTGACCTAACGGCAGCATGTAGAGATTGAACAGAAGAGGTCCCAGGATCGAACCCTGTGGGACTCCACAGGTCAGGGCCATATGATCTGAGACACAGTTTCCAATCTCCACAAAGTACTTCCTGTCTTCAAGGTAAGACCTAAACCAACTTAGGGCGGTGCCAGCGACGCCAACCCAGTCCTCTAGTCTCTGTAAGAGGATCTCATGGTCGACAGTGTCAAAGGCAGCACTTAGATCTAACAAGATTAAGATTGAGACTTTGCCTGCGTCAGTGTTCAGCCGGATATCATTTGTAACCTTGACGAGAGCAGTCTCAGTGCTGTGGTTGGGTCTAAAGCCGGACTGAAACATATCAAATGAGTTGTTGATTATAAGAAATGTAGTAAGCTGTAGGTAGACAACTTTTTCAAGGACTTTCCCCATAAATGGCAGATTTGAGATGGGACGATAGTTGTTAAGTACCGTGGCATCCAGACTGATCTTTTTTAGCAGGGGCCTGATGACTGCAGTTTTCAGGGCCTTTGAGAATACTCCAGAATTAAGGGACATGTTTACTATCTGTGTGAGTGAAGGTAACAGACTGCTCAGAACAGACTTTAGAAATCTAGTGGGTAGTACATCCAAGCTGCATGTGGAGGAGCTCATACTGGAGATTATCTCTTGGACAGTTTGATCATTTACAGGTGCAAAGTAAGTTAGCTCAAAGAGCCTTTCTGGCTGTTGGATTGTTATCTGTGGATTGGAGACAATGGCGTTTTTGATGCCTTGAACCTTGTCATTGAAAAAATTTGCAAACTCATTACATTTACGTTTGGAAGTTAGCTCTAATGGCATTTGAACAGGGGGGTTTGTTAATCTATTAACTGTTGAAAACAGAACACGCAGATTGTTGCTGCAGCCTTCAATCATTTCAGAAAAATACCTTTCTCTCGTACTACGTAGCACCTGGTTAAACTCGCACAACTTATCTTTGAAGATCTTGTAATCAACCTGGAGGTTGGACTTGCGCCACTTCCGCTCGGCCCTCCGGCACTCTCTCTTTTGTGCCCTGACCGAGTCTGCTTTAGCCCACGGCGCCTTCTGCTTATTTTTCACTATTTTAACCTTCACAGGAGCGATGGTGTCCAGAACTTTCAAAACACTAGAGGTGACAGAGTTAAACAGTTCATCTACAGTAGAATACAATGCATTCTCAAAGCTTATCATTCCCATAAATAGTTCACCCGTATTTTCATACCATGGGGTGCATCTGGATGAATGGTTGAATGTTCTCCGCTTGAAGTTTCTTTTAGCCCGTCCATTTGTGAGAGGATCTCTACTGCTCTCCCTGTAGCACAGAAAATAAAAATACAAGTGGCCTTTAGGGGAAAGAAATTATACATATTTTAATAATATCAAGAATTACCTTCAGACTCAATTTGTATCTGGTCGAGGCTCTTTCCTTTGAATTCCGTCACGCTTCCCTGCTCCATGGCCAGTAACACTTTGCTGATTTTGGCCAGCTCCAGTGTCCCCTCTGGTAGTCTGTAATATTGTCTGTGGATGCGAATGTCATGGCCGAGGAAGTTGGCTAGAATGTCCATTTCATTCTCTTTCATATTGAGAACTGTAGACATAGTAGCTATGTGCTTTCTAAGTTTGGTTGAGGATAGCATCTCTGGATGCACCGCACCACATTCTTTGGCTACCTGCCGTAGGGAGTCTGATCCCCTGATGTGGGTGTCTGCGCCCGGGCGGGAAAAGAAGTATGGGTTATGGTCAGAGATGGAACAGGCCCTTCTGTTCTCCACCAGTACCTCCATCGAAGCAATCATTTCAGGAGTCAAAAGAACCGACACTTTCCGACTTCTTTTCCCTTTAATTTCAATGCGTTGAAAATGCTGACACAGCTTTTTCTCAAATTCGGACAGTCCCAGAGCAATGTCAGAATGGATCCCAGTCTTACTTCTTAAGGTAAACGCTGTCAGTGGCATCTTTGAAACCTCACCTTCCCTTCTTCGATTGAAAATAATGACCTCACAAAGAGTCAAAACTGCCAGTTTAGACCAATGCTTAGAGGTTGGCTCACTTATTAGGGTTTGCACATATTCAGGTCGACATACCTCAATATGTGCATGCATGGCTCTAACGTCCTCAGTCAGAGGGAGCAGGTCCGGAGTGTTCCACTTGGCTTGCCGGAGGGTCTGTAGGGCAGCAGAAGAAACACAAACGTCCTACCTCTTCTCAAAAAGCAGCCGGCTTCGTTAGAGGTTTTTAATAAATTCATCAACACAATGCTCCATTTTTGAGTCACATTCAAGAATATCTGCTAGCTTTCTGAGGCTATGGCCGAGTTTGAGGGCCAAGGATGGAGTCTTGTATTGACTTGTTTCCTCATCATATCCAGCCACAGACCTGACTGCATCAATCACATGGTTAAAGTTGGAAGGAATAAAGAAATCCTTAATTGTTTTCAGTTTCCCTGCCGTTTTTGCTTCGTTAATTAACCTACCGACTTCTCTCATTTTCTGCCTAATGTAATCATGCTTAGTCTTATCATGCCCGTGTTTTAAGTACAGGTGCTCTCCGAGTCTCAGAATCCCCTTTTCTGCTTTGACAACACCCGTGACCTCATCCTGATGCATTGCCCAAATTAAAGACCACAGCTTTTTGCTGATGCCCTCCGGTACAGGCTGGGCTAGGGAGCAGAGGGACTGGACCCTACTTCTACCTGGTTTAGCCTGGGCATCTTTCTGTGAAAGCCGGCACCTGGCCACATGCCTCCACAGCGACTTTCGCTTAAGCAATGCCCCACAGTCTATACAGTGCAAAAACTCACTGGATTTAACTGGGGAATTTGGCTGTTTAGCTGGGACTAAAGTTCCAACGCCGGCCTTTAAAACCTCAAAATTGTGCTCACGGTTTCCACTATTCCTGATCAAATCAAACTGAAGTTTACGTGCTTTAGATTTCACAGGTAGAGCCAATGCTCTGGCTACGTCACTTTCATTTCCATGTTTTCTAGTCAAATGACGGGACATTTTGTGGCAGGACATTGAACAGTAGAGGCAGAAGTGCCTCTTGCTGTGAACTCTCCCCCCATTTTTCTTCTTTTGCAGCTGCATGATAACAATCGTATTTGCCTTTGGTTCGTCACTTTCCAACTCTTGAAGAAAAGTGTTTTTGATTTTTCTTTTTCCGTACTTTTTTACAGGTTTCTTCCTGACAGTTAAATCGTCAGAATCTGAGTCGACTTCATCAATTAGGGACTCTTGACTAAGCTGCACAAACAACAAATAATGAACCACACACTTGCACCTTTTTCTAGCCTGACACCTGATTTCCTCTGTTGTGCTGCTCCATGATTGGCTCCAGCCTGCTGGACTGAAATTGCCCCAGTGTGCCCCTCCTTGATATCCCACAATCCACCACCAGGGTTCCGACACATAATACACTTTTTTCAGGAAAGTAAACCTCCAGGGGTCCTTTCCATGTTTTTGCAGAGACTGCATAAGGACCGTTAGAAAAGCATTACCCATTGATTATTAAGCTTGGACCAGTGGGGTCCGGTGTTCGGGCCCCACCACGTAAAATCAGTCCCCATGACGTGCACACACACACACATGGAATGGGGACTGGACCTAAAACATGTGTGGTTCACTGTGGAGAAAGATTTGTCAAGCACTACAACTACTACTACTGCAACTACCACTTCTACTACCACTGCTATTACTACAACTACTACTGCTGATATTACAACTACTACTGCTACTACTACTACTACTACTGCTGATATTTCAACTACTACTGCTACTACTCCAGCTCATATTTCTATTTCCATGTTAGTATTGCCCCATGGCTGTTACCCTAACCTTAGTATATGGCTAAAATGTGTGTTTCCAGATGCGTGTGTTCAAACTGGCCAAGTCCTGGCCCACTCTCAACATGCTGATTAAGATCATCGGAAACTCGGTGGGCGCCTTGGGGAACCTCACCCTGGTGCTGGCCATCATCGTGTTCATCTTTGCGGTCGTGGGGATGCAGCTGTTCGGTCGCAGCTACAGCGAGTGTGTGTGTCGCATCTCAGCCAACTGCGAGCTGCCGCGCTGGCACATGACCGACTTCTTCCACTCATTTCTCATCATCTTCAGAGTCCTGTGTGGAGAGTGGATCGAGACCATGTGGGACTGCATGGAAGTGTCCGGCCAGACCATGTGTTTGACGGTCTTTATGATGGTCATGGTGATCGGTAACCTGGTGGTGAGGAATGGGGCTGAGACTGGAGCAGGACCGTAACCAGGACTGGGACTGACCAGATTGAGTCTCTCGGGTTTCTCTCTTGCCTCCCTCTGGTCTCTTTATGGTCTCTCTCTGGTTTCTCTCTGGTCTCTCTCTCTCTGGTTTCTCTCTCTCTTGTCTCTTTGGTCTCACTCTGGTCTTTTTCTCTCTCTCTAGTCTCTCTCTGGTCTCTCTCTCTGGTCTCTCTCTAGTCTCTCTCTGGTCTCTCTCTGGTCTCTCTCTCTGGTCTCTCTCTGGTCTCTCTCTGGTCTCTCTCTGGTCTCTCTCTCTCTGGTCTCTCTCTGGTCTCTCTCTCTGGTCTCTCTCTCTCTCTCTCTGGTCTCTCTCTGGTCTCTCTCTGGTCTCTCTCTGGTCTCTCTCTGGTCTCTCCCTCTGGTCTCTCTCTGGTCTCTCTCTGGTCTCTCTCTGGTCTCTCTAGTCTCTCTCAGGTCTCTCTCTGGTCTCTCCCTCTGGTCTCTCTCTGGTCTCTCTGGTCTCGCTCAGGTCTCTCTCTGGTCTCTCTCTCTCTGGTATCTCTCTCTGGTCTCTCTCTCTGGTCTCTCTCTGGTCTCTCTCTCTGGTCTCTCTCTCTGGTCTCTCTCTGGTCTCTCTCTGGTCTCTCTCTGGCCTCTGTAGTCTCTCTCCCTCCAGTACCCAAAATACTCTTTAAATTAAATTCCTTAACCCCCAGTCCCTTAAGCCTCTGTCTCAGTACCTCCCTACACTCACTATATCCCCTGCAGTGCAACAGCACGTGCTCTACAGACTCCTCCTGCTCTTCACATCCCTCACAGAGCCCCGTCTCATGCTTCCCTATGATACACAGTGTTTTATTCAGCGCACAATGCCCCAATCTAAGCCTAGTCATGACCATTTCTTCCCTCCGATGGCGCCCCTGCCTTCTGCCATCGCTCACCTCTTTCTGTATGTGATAAAAGTGCCTTCCTGAGGTCCCTGTCTCCCAACGTGTCTGCCATTCCGGAATTATTCGTTTCCACACCACACTCTTTGCTTCACTCTTGCTACTTTTCACACTCATCTCTACCCTAGCCTTATTCAGTGCACCCTTTGCCAGTCTGTCCACTACTTCATTACCTTGAATACCAGAATGTGATGGTACCCACAGAAACTGCACCGTGTTCCCCTGCTGATGTATTCTAGTAACTGTCAATAGAGTCTCATACAAAATATCCTGACGACCCTGTGATTGTATAGACTGGACACTAGAAAGCACAGACGCTGAATCAGAACATATTAAAACCCTACTCTTTTTAGCTTGCTCTGCCCACCTTAACGCCACTAATATAGCAACCATCTCCACTGTGTAAACACTCAAACCATTAGATGTTCGTCTGTTAATACCAACTCCTTTTCCTGGCACCGCTATTCCGAATCCTGTAGCCTCAGATTCTGGACTCTTTGACCCATCCGTAAAGATGTGAATATGACTTGAGTAGAGTTGAGATACGTGGTACTCAAAAGCTGCAACCAGATCAACCCTCCCTTTTTCCTTCTTCTTCAAGTCCAGCAGGTGCCAATCTACTCCTGGGCACGCCAACTTCCATGGGGGTATTGCAGGAAACACTAAAGCAGAACTAATCTGAAGATCATAAATACCATAGTTCTGAGCCATCTGGTCCCCCACTTTCCCAAAATGATCTCTCTGGGCCTTACCATATTCCCAGCAGTCCCTCAATGTCTGTTTTGTGGGATGAGAATCCCCATGGCTTTGTAAATGAACCCAGTAGTTCATCATTATCTGCTTCCTTCTCAGATCTAGTGGCATCTCCCCCATCTCTACCTGCAATGCATTCACCGGAGATGTCTTAAAGGCTCCGCAGCACAGCCTCAAGGCACGGGCCTGTATCACATCCAGTTTCTTCAGTATGGATGGGGATGCTGATCCGTACACCACACAACCATAGTCAAATGCTGACTTTATCAAGGCCTGATAGAGGCGTTTCAGTGCGGAGCAGCTGGCTCCCCAGTCTCTTCCTGCCAAACACCTCATAACATTTATAACCTTACTAGACTTCTCCTCAATCCTTTTTACGTGTTCCTTCCATGTTAAACGAGAGTCCAGTACAACCCCTAAAAACTTAAATGCACTAACTCTCTCAATCTCTTCACCGTATAACCTCAACTTCAGATCTTCCCTCACTCTCTTCCTTGTAAAGAAAACCACTTTAGTTTTCTCAACTGAGAACCTGAAGCCCCAGTCTAGTCCCCACTCCACCACATCATTAATGGCTCGCTGACTCTTGCCTATTAGATGATCTACCTTTCTCCCCCTGCTCCATACCGCCCCATCATCTGCGAACAAAGATCTACCCACACTCCCAGGCATTGCATCAAACACATCATTAATCATAATAATGAACAGTAGAGGACTTATCACACTGCCTTGAGGAGTTCCATTTTCAGCACAATATTGATTGGAGCAAGCTGATCCAATGCGCACGTCAATTTTCCTCCCATCAAGAAAGTCTCGGATCCAGTTAAAAGTTCTTGCACTAACCCCCAACCTATGCAGTTTGATTAATAACCCCTCTTTCCACATCATGTCAGGCTTTTTCAATGTCAAAAAACACTGCCAGCACTGACTCCTTACAAGCCTGAGCTTTCCTTATCTCATTTTCAAGCCTAATAATAGAGTCACACGTATTTATCGCTTTCCTAAAGCCACTCTGACAACCAGCTAAAACTCCTCGTCTCTCAAGGTCAAAAGACAACCTTTCCACAATCATTCTCTCCATCATTTTACAGAGGTTGGAGGTAAGGGCTATTGGCCGATAACTACATGGCTTGGACGGGTCCTTTCCAGGCTTCCTTATCGGCACTATCACAGCCTCTTTCCACGCACCTGGCACCTTTCCTTCAGTCCAAACTCTATTATACAATAGCAGCAGTTTCTTACGGCTGCTATCTCACCTTTACAAAACTTTGGGCCATGACCTCTGCCTTATCCCTGTCCGATATCGCTGTGCCATTCTGAGTCACTAATACTGGGTAATCCCACTCACGCCTGTCTCCACCCATCCTTCTTACCATTCCCCAGACTTCACCCACTGGTGTTGTTCTCCCCACTTTTGAGCAAAACTCCCTCCAGCTAGACCTTTTTGCTCTTCTAATTGTCCTCCTAACAATTGCCTGCGCTTTCGTGTATTCCACCAGATGCTGAATACTGAGCGTTCTCTTAAACTTCCTAAATGCCTTATTCCTCTCCTTGACCGCTACCCGGCACTCCTGCGTCCACCAGGGAACCAGAACTCTGTTATTCTTTGGCTTGCTCTTTGAAATACTCTTTCGTGCAGCATTTATCATTCCCTCCGTAATCTGTTTATTCATTTAATCTACGCTGCCTTGACACCCCATTTCATCTGCAGCCTCCTCACATAACTTTTGGAACTCATCCCAATCAGCTCTATGGAAAGCCCATTTCCCCAAACCCTCTCTGCTTATCCCCTTCACCTTACCCCCAATTGAGCTCAAAACAGGATAATGGTCACTCCCCAGGGTTGTATCTGTCCTAACCCTCCACTGGCAGCCCCCTGCACATGCGCTAGACACCAGGGTAAGATCCAACGCTGAGGAGGACCCATTCACAACATTAAACCTTGTACCAGAACCGTCATTCAAACACACAAGATTCTGCTCATCCATCAATTCCTCTATAACACTTCCATTGGCGTCTTTATGCCGACCCCCCCATACTCCACTGTGAGCATTAAAGTCCCCCACCCAAACAACTCTCCTACGGTCTTGTCCCTGAATACCCCGGAGGCTCTGATGCTCTAACCTGGCACATGGATTATAGAAATTTATGACCACTGTTGGTTTTTCCTTCTCCCATACTTCCACTACAATGCACTCCAGATTTCCCCCTACCCCCAGTAACCTGTAGGGGATACCGCTTCTAACAAATGTTGCACACCCCCCTCCATCTCCATGGTCTCGGTCATTTCTAATCACAGCATATCCATATATTATAAAGTCCAAAGAAGGCTTAAGCCACGTCTCCTGCACACATATTACGTCCAGTTTCTCTTTAAGTCCTTTAATGAAATACTTAAACTCCTGGCCATTGGCCAGTAAACTTCTTGCATTCCATTGGAGAATAAGCACCATTAGGAATAGGCTTCTCCCTCTCCTTTTCTTCTCCCTTTTTCTTCTTTTTCTTCTTCTCCTTTTTCTTAATAATAATAATAATAATAATAATAATAATAATAATAACAATAACAATGATAATAATAATAATTCATCGGTTTTATATAGCGCTTTGTTGACACTCAAAGGCGCTTTTTCTTTCACTCCAAACACTATGTGGTGATAAACTACTGTGGCCACAGCTGCCCTGGGGCACACTGACAGAAGCGAGGCAACCAGTCTGTGCCATCGGCCCCTCCGACCACCACCAGCCAGTCACACACACACCAGACTCATTCTAGGCAATGGGGGTGAAGTGTTTTGCCTAAGGGTTGGGCATTTTGGCACTTTACAGCCACAGCCGCCCCACTGTGACATTTTCTCCTTCTTCTTCTTCCCTATCCCTAACCTACACACTAGGGCTGGGCAATATGGATAAAAAAAAATATCTTGATATATTTTTCTATATCTTGATATACAATATATATCTTTATATTTTTCTCTTCATTCAAAAATTAAACAACTCAACTCAAGGCAGTGCTGCTGTCAGACTGTACAATGAGAACTGCTGAGCCTCTGTCATTCATCTGAAAAATACTGTGTGTAATGTGCAATACTGCAACTTCAGAATGTCCATACTTTTTGATGAGGAGGAAGACGCAATGTCCTTCAGTGCAGACGCTGAGGTACTTGAGTATATGAGGCTCAGAGTGAGAGGTCCTAAAGCGATTCCCCAGACTGAGAGCCAATGTGTACCTGCTCTGTGGCATTTTTGATCATAAAGAGCATGAAAGAAATATCTGTTATGATCTTTGTAGTAGAACTTCCACAACAAATGTAAGAACAGTTCTATTCAAAGTCGAGCATAACAT